GAACATGGAGGAACCCCCAAAACCTCTGTGTATATATATATATAGCGATGTACATACGATTCGAACATCAGGTTTGGAAAGTTTTTATTATATGAATATATAGTGCCGGACAACTACAATATTCAAAATATATTATATATACACAGGATTTTCCAAAATGCAACGTAGATAGCTGGTGGGATTCTTACTTAGAACATGGAGGAACCCCAAAACCCTCTCTGGTGTGATATTTATATAACGCGATGTCACATACGTTCTAACATCAGGTTTTGGAAAGTTTTTTATAATATGAATATATAGTGGCCGGACAACTCCAATATCAAAATAAATATTATAATACATACACAGGAATTTTTCCCAAATCACGTAATAGCTGGTGGGGATTCTTTACTTACTTAGAACTGTAGGAACCCCCAAAACCTCTGTATATATATAGCGATGTACATACGATTCGAACATCAGGTTTGGAAAGTTTTTATTATATGAATATATAGTGCCGGACAACTACAATATTCAAAATATATTATATATACACAGGATTTTCCAAAATGCACGTAGATAGCTGGTGGGATTCTTACTTAGAACATGGAGGAACCCCCAAAACCTCTGTGTATATATATATATAGCGATGTACATACGAGTCGAACATCAGGTTTGGAAAGTTTTTATTATATGAATATATAGTGCCGGACAACTACAATATTCAAAATATATTATATATACACAGGATTTTCCAAAATGCACGTAGATAGCTGGTGGGATTCTTACTTAGAACATGGAGGAACCCCCAAAACCTCTGTGTATATATATATAGCGATGTACATACGATTCGAACATCAGGTTTGGAAAGTTTTTATTATATTAATATATAGTGCCGGACAACTACAATATTCAAAATATATTATATATACACAGGATTTTCCAAAATGCACGTAGATAGCTGGTGGGATTCTTACTTAGAACATGGAGGAACCCCCAAAACCTCTGTGTATATATATATATAGCGATGTAAATACGATTCGAACATCAGGTTTGGAAAGTTTTTATTATATGAATATATAGTGCCGGACAACTACAATATTCAAAATATATTATATATACACAGGATTTTCCAAAATGCACGTAGATAGCTGGTGGGATTCTTACTTAGAACACGGGGGAACCCCCAAAACCTCTGTGTATATATTAGTAGCGATGTAAATACGATTCGACCTCAGTGTTTTAAAGTTTTTATTATAATGAATATATCGTGCCTTACAACTCCCATATCAAATCTATTCTCATTCTACCATGTTGTTTTCACCTTACACTTAATAATAGCTGGTGGGATTCTTACTTAGAACATGGAGGAAAACCCGAACCCCCAAAAACCTTTGTATATATATATATATAGCGATGTACATACGATTCGAACATCAGGTTTGGAAAGTTATTATTATATGAATATATAGTGCCGGACAACTACAATATTCAAAATATATTATATATACAGGATTTTCCAAAATGCACGTAGATAGCTGGTGGGATTCTTACTTAGAACATGGAGGAACCCCCAAAACCTCTGTGTATATATATATAGCGATGTACATACGATTCGAACATCAGGTTTGGAAAATTTTTATTATATAAATATATAGTGCCGGACAACTACAATATTCAATATATATTATATATACACAGGATTTCCCAAAATGCACGTAGATAGCTGGTGGGATTCTTACTTAGAACATGGAGGAACCCCCAAAACCTCTGTGTATATATATATATATATAGCGATGTACATACGATTCGAACATCAGGTTTGGAAAATTTTTGTTATATGAATATATAGTGCCGGACAACTACAATATTCAAAATATATTATATATAAACAGGATTTTCCCAAAATGCACGTAGATAGCTGGTGGGATTCTTACTTAGAACATGGAGGAACCCCCAAAACCTCTGTGTATATATATATAGCGATGTACATACGATTCCAACATCAGGTTTGGAAAGTTTTTATTATATGAATATATAGTGCCGGACAACTACAATATTCAAAATATATTATATATACACAGGATTTTCCAAAATGCACGTAGATAGCTGGTGGGATTCTTACTTAGAACATGGAGGAACCCCCGAAACCTCTGTGTATATATATATAGCGATGTACATACGATTCGAACATCAGGTTTGGAAAGTTTTTATTATATGAATATATAGTGCCGGACAACTACAATATTCAAAATATATTATATATACACCGGATTTTCCAAAATGCACGTAGATAGCTGGTGGGATTCTTACTTAGAACATGGAGGAACCCCCAAAACCTCTGTGTATATATATATATAGCGATGTACATACGATTCGAACATCAGGTTTGGAAAGTGTTTATTATATGAATATATAGTGCCGGACAACTACAATATTCAAAATATATTATATACACAGAGGATTTTCCAAAATGCACGTAGATAGCTGGTGGGATTCTTACTTAGAACATGGAGGAACCCCCAAAACCTCTGTGTATATATATATATAGATGTACATACGATTCGAACATCAGGTTTGGAAAGTTTTTATTATATGAATATATAGTGCCGGACAACTACATATTCAAATATCATATATATAAACAGGATTTTCCAAAGGCACGTAGATAGCTTGTGGGATTCTTTACTTAGAACATGGAGAACCCCAAAACCTCTGTGTATAATATATATAGCGATGTACATACGATTCAACATCAGGTTGGAGTTTTTATTATATATATATAGTGCCGGACAACTACAAATATTCAAATTATTATATATACACAGGATTTTCCAAAATGTCCAAAATCACGTAGCGTAGCGGTGGGATTCTTACTTAGAACATGGAAGGAACCCCCCAAACCTCTGTGGTAATATATATATATTCGATGCAGTTACATACTATTCGACGAACATCAGGTTTGGAAAGTTTTTATTATATAATATATAGTGCCGGACAACTACAATATTCAAAATATATTATATATACACAGGATTTTCCAAAATGCACGTAGATAGCTGGTGGGATTCTTACTTAGAACATGGAGGAACCCCAAAACCTCTGTGTATATATATAGCGATGTACATACGATTCGAACATCAGGTTTGGAAAGTTTTTATTATATGAATATATAGTGCCGGACAACTACAATATTCAAAATATATTACATATATACACAGGATTTTCCAAAATGCACGTAGATAGCTGGTGGGATTCTTACTTAGAACATGGAGGAACCCCCAAAACCTCTGTGTATATATATATATATATACATATATACATACGATTCGAACATCAGGTTTGGAAAGTTTTTATTATATGAATATATAGTGCCGGACAACAACAATATTCAAAATATATTATATATACACAGGATTTTCCAAAATGCACGTAGATAGCTGGTGGGATTCTTACTTAGAACATGGAGGAACCCCCAAAACCTCTGTGTGTATATATATATATAGCGATGTACATACGATTCGAACATCAGGTTTGGAAAGTTTTTATTATATGAATATATAGTGCCGGACAACTACAATATTCAAAATATATTATATATACACAGGATTTTCCAAAATGCACGTAGATAGCTGGTGGGATTCTTACTTAGAACATGGATGAACCCCCAAAACCTCTGTGTATATATATATATGAACATATATGTTCTAAGTAGTGGTCCAGGATCTCTACTTAGAACACGTTTTGGAATTCCAAAACCAATGTTCTAAGTAGTTGTCCGGCGCTATATCTATCTACCTACCTATCTACCTATCTACCTATCTACCTATCTACCTATCTACCTATCTACCTATCTATCTATCTATCTACCTACCTATCTATCTATCTATTTATCTATCTATCTATCTATCTAACTATCTACTTGTCTCTCTCTCTCTCTTTCATCTAATTACCTATCTACCTATCTATCTATCTATCTCTCCCTCTCTCTCTCTTTCATCTGTCTACCTGTCTAGCTGTCTACCTGTCTATCTGTCTATCTATCTATCTATCTATCTATCTGTCTACCTGTCTATCTGTGGTGCAGCGTCATTCAGTGCAATGTAGTGTAGTGTAATGTGGTGTAGTGTAGTGGAGTGTAGTGGAATGTAGTGTAGTGTAGTGTAATGTTGTGTAGTGTAGTGTAATTTAGTGTAGCGGAGTGTAGTGTAGTGTAATGTAGCGTAGTGTAATTTAGTGTAGTGGAGTGTAGTGGAGTCTAATTAGTGGGTGTAGTGGAGTGTAGTGGCGTGTAGTTGTGTAGTTGTAGTTGTAATGTACTGTAGTCTAGTGTAGTGGAGTGTATAGTGTAGTGTATTGAACCGAAACGAAGCGAAGCGACATCTGAACCTCCAAAAGTGGTCCGAACCCCGGGTGTTTTTAACATTTTGACTTCGAAATGTGCTTCGCGCCACAACGGCATGCACTTTTTCGACATCTGAACCTCCAAAAGTGGTCCGAACCCCTGATGTTTTAACATTTTGACTTCGAAATGTGCTTCGCGCCACGGCGTGCACTTTTTCGACATCGCAACTGCCAAAAGTGGTCCGCACCTGGTGTGTTTTGTACATTTTGACTTGCAAATGTGCTTCGCGCCACAACGGCGTGCAATTTTTCATCTCTCACCTGGCCAGCTGGCTCCGCACCCGCCGCTTTAGCGAGCCTACTTTTCGACCCTCCGGAGCCTCAAATCATTGGAAAAACACAATGTTTCGCGACTTTCCTACCTTTTCATCTGCATCTTCTTTCTTCTGACTCTTTCTCTTCTGATCTTCTCTCTTCTAATCTTTCTCTTCTCTCTGCCTCTGCCCTGCTCTGCTTTTCATCTGTCCATTTTGTCGGAAGTTTGACTTCTAAACTTCCTTCGAAAATGTCAGCCCTATTTCTTTTTGGTTGTTTTCTTTGGAATTAACGGTTAAACATCCCAAAAACTTGACTCATCCAGCTCCCTTTTGGTCACCATCCCCTGGCAGAACTTCGAGGATCTACGCCATTCTCTTCACCTTGGAGATGGCCATTCGCTTCATTGCCGCAGGATGCAGGAGCCCACTGTTTCTCCGTTGATTTCACCAAAAATTTAGGGCATGAAAACAAGGCCTTCAGCATCAATAGGCGTTTTTTCTCCCGATGACCCAGATATCATACATGGATATAATATACATGGTTGGTTGGTTATGTTAGTTGTATGTCCCAAATGATTATACAGATATATCCCTATCATATTCCAATCAAACGGTAGGTTGTATCCCCATTCTATTCTCATCATATCCCCATAAAATACGGTTGGAGGTAGCATTTTATGCCCCCCTATGATGGTTTGTTGCTGTATATCTCCAATCTATGGTAGGCTATATGCACCCATTTTAACATTTTCAGACCCCGCCAATTGGTCGCAAGCTGAAGGAACTATTTGATTGGTCCTGAGTGGTATTGGAACTGGTTGGATCTGCTCGTGGTCATTCCTGCTTGGCGCTTGGGCGCAATACTGGGACAAAGGACGAACTTCGGACAACCTAGTATTGCATATGCATATGCATATGTATATGTGTACATATACGTATATATATATATATATGTATACGTATATGTATGCATATATATATATATATATTTAGTATATGTATGCATGTATATAGATATGCAACATGAATATATATATATGGTGTATGACATGAGATATATGATATATGATATATGTGCGTACATATGTTGCCCATCTATCTATCTGCTTATGTGTATATCTACATATAGGGTAACATGCTGCATATGTATGTGTTCTGTGGAGATATGTCCACACATATGCATATATGATATATGCCTGATAGTGTGTTTTCATCATCTATACAAAAGTGTGCGTGTATATGGCACATAAGTACCTGCGTATGTATACATTCTTTATATATTCAACGTGTATTTGGCACATTTTATTGAATCAATGTTCTATATGTTTTGGGTGTATCCCAGAGAAAATGCAGCCAAGAAACATGGGTTTAAAACCAATCATTGGAATTGACTGGTTTGACGCGTAATTTGTCCTGCCACGTTACGAATCCATATCTTTTTAAATGCATTCGTGTGATTACACCATTTCTGAAGAACAAGAAATGTTGTGACATGTCATTGCATTTCTCCGGTTCCCAGGGTCAGGTCATGATTTTCTGTGTCATCCAACTGGTCATGGGGACCCCTTTTTGTGCGCCACTTCCCACTTGGTTCGGCGATCGCAGGGTGGAGCTGATTACGGACTTCATGGAGCATGGGGAGAACGTCTCCAGCGGCGCCAGTAACTTCCGAATTCTGCGCGTTTTGAGGTGCGACCAGCGGCTTGTGTCACCGGGTGCCACCATGGTGGGTTTACCCTCCGGTGTCATCAGCTCCATGGTTGTTCGATGATGTTCCCAGCTATACAGGCTATATATACTCTATATATACACTTCCATTTCGTAGTTCATGTTCAATTTCAAATCATTTTCTGGTTGGTGGTTTGGAACATTTTTTATTTTCCATAATATATGAGATAATCCTTCCCATTGACTAATATTTTTCAGAGGGGTTGAAATCACCAACCAGTTTTGGACCGTGTGGTTTTCTCTGAAAAGAGGATATCCTCAATTCTTATCCACTTATTTCAACGAAACCCTATTAAAACAACCATGAGATGGGAGTATACCCCACGTAACCGTCACGTCACCAATGTTGCCATGGAGAACATGACATGCCGAGATGAACCCTCGGAGCAGTGGGAGTCTCAAGAATTCTGGGTGAATGATATCTTACAATCACCAATAGATCATGTGTATTATATCGCAGGATAATGATAATTGGTGAATGAATAGAATATATCTTATGATATCACCAATATATCTTATATAGGAAAATGAATGTAGGATACACTTTCGCGCGTGTCTTCGCAGGATCACTCGGATGTTACATGTGATTCGCAGCGTTCGGCTGATTCGAAGCTGGGTGGAAGAATGGATCGGCGCGCAGTGGGTTGTGTGTCTGAAGATTTTTTTTACATATGGGGGATCCCATAGGATCCATGTATGCTATATATGGTAACATTTACCATCAATATACCCCAAATGTTAGCATATATACCAGCACCATGGATCCTATGGGGATGGGATCCAAAATGGCGACAAACTTGCCACGGCCATTTTTCGCGAATTTTTCGGGTCAAACTTGCCACCAGAATTTTGGAATGGGATTTCAGCAACGGAACCCTGGTGGAGCTATCATGAGAATGTGGCAGGAATGCATCAACAAACCCTGCGGATTTATTCCAAAAAAGGGCATTAAGTATCATTAAGTTAAATCAAAAGACATGTGGAGGGGTTACTACTCAAGTCATTACGATTTCGCATCCATTTTTTGGTGGCATTCCCATTGATGTTGGTCACATCCACCCTCGAAGGTGCACTACCAATATGTCAACCCCTGATGAGGCTAAACCCTGCTTGGTTAGAATGGTAAACCTCCCAATTAGATCCAATTAGTGGCAATTTGCGATGCTACAATGCTACACCCCCCCAATTCTTCGCAGCCCGGGGTTGACATTGTATCTTCTCACACCTGGAGGCAACGGTCCCAGGGTGCCTGGGATTGCAAACTCCCACCCTTTCTAGTATAACTTGACAATGCAACAAGCAAATTTGCACATATCAACGCGCAATTTTCTGGATGTACCTCATTTAGCTCCGTTTTCCATTGCCATATTACTGTGCTACTAGTAGAGGATGTTGATGTTGAATGGACAATTCTAGAAATAACATGAACTGGTCAAGATTTGGCTGCATTGTGGGTGACAGTTGGGTACCAAGAATGGTGAGTTCAGAGAAACTATGGTCATTCTGAACCATTTCGCTAGAAAGATTGTGCTTAGATGGTTGGCCACATCTTCCAGAATGGGGACCAATGGGCCACCAAGGTTTATTTGTATTATTGATGCAACTTACTTTATTATTATGTTAGTCTATGTGCCAATCCTTGTAGGAGTTTAGGGCAGGGGCGACCAAGATTGGTAAGATGCCGATGGCTATGATACAACACCCCCAATAATCAAGCACTTCTTGGGAGCCATTGTAAGTAGCGGTATAAACTGGCATTTCCCAATAATAATACAGTTTATTATTCCTAATGCTCCCAAAGTTCTCATGATTAACCCAAAACTTCATATATAATGTTCCAGCTTTCCTTGTGGATTCAACATTATTTAAAAGGCATAGTTAACACATTTTTCTCGTCATTTTCCATAATTTCCCATTAGTTCCCATGTGGTTATTTAACATAGCTATGGAGCATGGCCCTTAATTCGATGATAAACATGATGATTTACCTGTTGCCTGATTTTCCAGTTTGCAAACCGTTGTTAATAACCAGAGGGTAGTGAATAGATGCCCCATGATTTTATATGTTTTTCCATAGTTATCATAATTTCCCAGGATTTTTCCATACCTTCCCACGATTTAATGCATAGATGTCCTTTCCAAAATACCATTATTCATTACCCGCCGGTTTTGCATTATTGGATCCAAGTATACCATACTATACCACCATTTTTTTCATTAGGAACAATACGTACCATGATTTGGATCCAACTATATATATATATATCTATTATATATATATATATCTATTATATATATATATCTCTATTAACATAGTATGTATATATATATATTGTACCAAACAATCATTTTTCATTAGCAACAATACGTACCATGATTTGGATCCAACTATATATATATGTACATATTAACATATAATATGCATATATATATATATATCGTACTATATCATCATTTTTCATTAGCAACAATACGTACCATGATTTTTATCCAACTATATATATATATAATATGTATATATATATATATATCGTACTATATCATCATTTTTCATTAGCAACAATACGTACCATGATTTGGATCCAACTATGTATATGTAGATATATTAACGTATAATATGTATATATATATATATGTATGTATATATATATATGTATATATATATATATATATCGTACTATACCATCATTTTTCATACGCAACAATACGTACCATGATTTATCCCTGATGTCCCTTTTCAAGCGAGGTGTGATCCACGCCTTCCGCGAGCTGATCTTGTCCATTTTGGACACGACACGACAGCTGGGATGGGTGACCTGCTAGATCGATGTTGCCCCTTTGGAAGTAGCCGCCCAAAGGCTCTGACGATGAGTCAGAAAGTTGAGTGCAATCCAGGATGATTTCTGTGAAAAAGACAAGTTCTCCAAGGCTAAGTGGGTGGTTTTGCAATGGGGTGAAGTCACGAAAGAACTCAGAGATTCCAAGGGCCAGCAGGGATGAATCATCCGGAGCCTCCCAAGGCCATGATTTTGCTGCTGCTGATCATCTATAGTGCCTTGGATGGCTTCAACAACCATCTCCAAATCACGTTTTTAGTTGGTTACGATCTTTGAGTTTTTTTGTTGGGGGGACAAGTTGGCTATGGTTGGCTACATGATCTACAAATCTTCCGTTTTTGTGGGCTCAATTCATTCAATCTGGATGAATTACAAATTATAACGACCTCACGTCATGACGTCACTGGAACGATCGTTAGCTTGCGGTGAATCTTCAAATGGCTGTATGATAACACTTATTTTTTCAGGTTATTGAATTATGAAGTAATTCGGCCATATGTTTTAAACCTGCCAGATTTATATAACCAACAATAATTGGCTATTGTGAATGAATTCTTCAATTATGATTGGCAATTGGCTACTGTATTCGACTCCATGATATACCAATAATACGTCAAATATATATATATATATATACACCAACAATATACCAATAATGTACCAATATAATACCAATGATAATATGATTATATACCAATCCCACTTCAACCCGCCTGGTCCGCCCATGTCCGCCCCTAGGCTTCTCCATTCTCTTCACCGATGCGGTCAGCAATGAACAGTTGACTGACCCACAGTTGCTAGATAGCAACCCGCTAAAACAATAGGAAAGTAAAACACCCTCCTAGAATAGAACAGCTAATCAATTATTTGTTCTATTTTTTTGGTGGTTACTATACATTATGGGGATAATTATTCCATTTGCCGAGCTGCCAAAAAAAATTGTCCGCTGCAGGTCGTGCAAGATAGGTCCCCAAGTACGGCGATAACCATCACTAATGCCATTGATGTTGGAAAATACTTTCCTTGTGGTTGTTGTTTTTTTTAATCTTTTTTTCGGCCTGCTAAAACGTTGGTTTTAAGCACGCCAAATTTTAGTGTATTTGTTGGTGGCTAGCTCTCCCATGCTGTTCGGAACGACCGCCAGTTGTTGGATATGATAAGATCCCAATTTTGCCTTAGGTATGGATTTTTAAACAATCAAAATCCCAAATTTTGCCTGTTGGATATGATAAGATCCTCTCTTTTTAGTTTTATTTCACTAGGTATGTACTTTTTTTCTGCTGGATTTTCCATCGCCAGCTTAAATTAGTGGAGATTTCACATCCCATGTTATATCCCGACTTTGCTGACATGTACAACCCAGTTTCATACGTGACATTACTCGTAGCAAGATTTCAGGGGCCCGCAGAAAGGTAACTTATGGTAAATTGGTGCTTTGTTTATCCTGGTTGACACTGGCGATGGTCTTGCCCTCATCAGTAGCTGGTTGAAGCTCATTGAACTACCAACAACAAAATGAAAACAGTTAAACCCCCAACCAGGTTACACGTTTATTTCCCCACTAGGTTTTATCTATTAGCCCCATTTATAGATGTTTTTTTCATATCAAAAATCTCACTTTTTTGATGACACAGTTTAGCCTCCGGAAATCAAGGCAATCGAACATCGATCATTGATAGGATGATTTTCCTATTGAGCCTTAATAGGGGATAATGATAGGGGATAACGTGGGAGAACCTTCCATGGAGTAAACTGGGATTTCCCAGTTTGCCACGATTACCAGAGGGTATCCTGGAGGGTATCCTCATGACATCGTCGTGAAAAAGAACGACTCTTGAGGAGGCTGGACCTCAGCAATGCGCAGCAGTACTTTGGAGGCGTCTTCATTGCCTGCGAAACGCTGTTCAGGCGACGGGTACCAGAAATTCATGGGACTTTTGGATGATTTTGGGATGTGGAGGTGGGGACATGAACATCATGCTGTGGATTCTTTAAACAAATTGAGCAACAAATGCAGCACACTTGGAAGACTTGGAATTTCAACCAGCGAAGATGTGGAGATTGCAGCGTGAGACGTAGCCATGGCAATCAGGATTCGAAACTATGCCCAGGGCGATGCAAAGGATAACAAAAACACTCGCATAGAGAGAGGACAGCCCGAACTGTTAGCAAAAGACTCAACTCATCTTCGAACATCTCCAAACACTATGTCCATCTATTATCCATCTATTATCCATCTATATCTTCCGAAAAACCATCCCCACAGCTCCCAACACTTCATTTTTGTTGGGGGAGGGGTGCAGTACCCAGGGCCTGCCTCAGTGGCTTCGACTGGGTAGATGCGGCCGATGCCTTGAAGCCGGTGGGGGAGGTCTGGGTCCAACTGTTCCACATCTACGTGGCCTTCTGCAGTGACTTGGGAAATGGGGGGATGGGGAGGATGGGAGGGAGATTCGAAGAACCTATTATGATATATTATGATATAGTATATTAGAATATAATATAAAAGAATTTATCTTTTACACATAAATCAATATATATATATATATATAGATACATAAATAAATAAGTAAATTTATAAATAAATAAATAAATAAATTAATTAATTAAATAAATAAATAAATATATATATATACACTAGCGCTATAAATATATACACTATATATATATAGTAGTTTCGTTTTGGGGTCATTGATCTAGATAAACTATGGAAGATGGATCTATGGATAAACTGTGTAATGAAAATAAACCATCCCCAAATTCACCATTTTTATGGGTTCTAGAAACCATCAAAATATGGGTGTTTTACTATTGCTTTACTTTCATTATCTTTCATTGTTGGGAATTGATGGGATGTCAAGAACCTGGATCTTGATTAGTGATGGTTTATATAGTGGTGGGCCACCGCCAGATGCAAAACTGCAAGGCAGCGCTAGAAAACGGGGCTAGGTAGATTTGCAGGTCTTTGAGTGCAGAATCAGAAAACAGTGAATCCTCCTTTTTCTCTTTCTTTCCTCTTCCTCTCCTGTCCTCCTTGAATATTCTTTAATCCTTCTCCTCAGATGGACAGATGAGAAGTGTGAAGAGAGGGCCGGCGAAGACTGCAAAGACAACGCATGTCGGAATTGAAGTAAAACAACGCCCCAATATCGGAGGTGAAGTACTAGTAATACAACACTACAACAACCGTGTGCTGCAACAGAACTTGTTCCATGTTTTCTCAAGCAAAGCCAGAGAACGAAAACCGAAGCCAATGCCACTATTCCACCAGATGTGAAACAAACTGGCAGAAATTGACAATGCTTCCAAGTTTCTGCGCTAGCGTGTCGCAGGCTGTGCGCTAGGTTTGCGTTACACAACCCGTGACATGTGATTGTAGTTGCCACTTTCAAGCTGAAACATAGCTTCTTTGTCACGACTTCAAGAATTTGTACCTAGCCGTATTGGTCGATCTTCAGCAGGTAAAAGAGGCTCCGCGCCAGCTATGAACGCCAGATTCTGCACTTCCAATCGCGGCACTGAAGAAATTTAAAGAGCAAGAGGCGGTGATGTATACAGTTCTATCCAAAATAGTATCTACACAGTTCACCCAAAACCATCCACCCATTGGTATAGCCATTCACAACGTGCCCTACTGCAACGACATGGTTGATTTGGGCTACCCCCACAAGGTAATTAGTAAATTGACCTTGCAACATATGCATTAAAAAGAGGGGTGTGCATTTCCAAATGCATGAATATATAGTCAGAATTAAACATGTTGCATATTCATATGTAGGAGTGGCTGTTAAATTGTTTTTCCCGAAAGCGGTGGTAAGTCCTATTCTTCTTGGAGGTTCAAAGCGTCATCTAATTGGGTTTCTGTGTTAGATTGCGGGATCGAAGTCTTTGTTAGCGTGATCTCGAAATCGAGTTCCGTGGTGCTGGTTGATTTCAGTTGTTCAATGATCAAGGTCCAGGTGCAGCCCACTTTAGTGATGACAACCTGCTGGCTTTCTTCGGGGATCATAGATCAGTTCACCAAGAAAATATGTTGAAAAGAATTCATGGCAGGGATATAAATATTATAAATAAAACAAAATATAATTAACTATATAACCTAATATAACTATATAACTAACCTCTTTCTCCAAGATTTGACGGATGTTTTGACCTCAACAACAAATGGTTTCCAATGTTTTCTACTTGTTTGGCGGTTGCCTTCCAGCCCATAGGCTGGGTGTGATTTCATCATATTTCATCTCACCGTGCATCTTCGCATCTTCGAACTGAGGCTTTGCTGTGCTAAACGTAATTACAGGCGTTTTTTCGCTGGCAGTTGGGCGGGTGGTACTGGGAATATCTGGGAATCTAGCAGCAAGACGTGGGGAGACTGTTTTTGAATTCCCATCCCCCAAAAAATGAAACTGTAACTCCAATTGGTTGTTTACGATAATTGGAGCCCGCAACCTCTCTGGAAATTCTGCAAATTTAAGAAACGTTCCCGAATTCATCAGGGGTCTAGCATTTCTTGGTTGACATCAATGTCGTAGCAAAATAATAACGCTATTTTTTTTCAAGGTTGAGTCTGTACATTTGGCATAGGTTGTTGCAAACTATAACTTCTTATGGTTAGAAAACAATAAGGTATATATAATATATATATAGTTCCTTTTTATTCGACAAGAAATGTCATTTCCGGATCTAAACAACTAAGTTTTCTCCAAACAACAAAGAAATCAGATTGTCTTGGGATGTTTTAAATGTCTATATATGGATCATCTGCTCCCGTCGGCGAGACTTCCCGTGAGGCGTCTTCGTGAACAGCGCCATCAAGACCCGAGAGAAGGATCACGAGACCTTGGTTTTGCACGTGCAGAAGTTCAAGGACGGACGGGGTGCGATTGGAACGTTGGAAGGATAGATGGATTGATGATTCGCCAAAACGATAGGAATAATTGTGGAGGATAAACTACTAATTATAATTTCCATGTGTTTTGCATCCCAATTTCATAACCAATCAACAATGGCATGGTTAACGGCTTGGTGAATTGTTTTGGACGAATAATTAATTTGCCATATGTATATGTTTCTATCCTTCCACAATTTTTTGAACAGAATGATTGAACCCCATGGAAGTGGCCATTAGAATCTGTTGAAAAACCATGAGAACCCAGTGGAAAACCATTTAAATGTCCAAAATATATCTAAATTCTGATGTCAAAAATGGGCCCCATGGTTGCCATAACTGTGGGAAGTTACGACATCTTCGGCGAGGACTTGGTCGGCAAGATCTGGAATAAGTTGGACACCTCAGGCCTGGTTATCGATTGGTGATCCATGGTGATCCACTACTGGTAATTGGTTAATCTATGGTGAATCTATGGTTAATCCATGGTTAATGATGGTTAATGATGGTAGAATATATCTGGTTGGTGCTGACTGGAACCATGGATTTTTGTTTATGACTTTCCAGAAACAGTTGGGAATGGAATGTCATGATCCCAACTGACGAGTTGTCCATCATTTTTCAGAGGGGTTGGTTGAAACCACCAAGCAGCCACGAAAGATCCGATGAAGAATCGCCTGAGTGATGTGAAACATGTCAAATCCCACAATTTGTGGACTCCACAAGACACCACTCTTCATGAGCGATAAAAACCTAGATATTCTTTTAAATGTGTGAAAACGGTCGCTATCTCGTTTTTTAATTTTTTAAAAAATTGATTCTCATGCGATTTCAAGTCAATTGTCGATTGACCAGTGAGGTAAACTCAATATAACTCAGTAGCACATGATTGGCGTATGAAGTCAACCACTTATTGTTGGGGTTACCATATGATACCAAGAAAACAGAAGAAATCTCTTGGCTTTGCTGGTCAAAGCCTATGCTTTCGTCGGTTGGGCTCCACCACCGACCAGGCGATGGTCAACTGACGATCACGGAGTTTGAACAGATGTTCAAAGATCCGGACATGCAGGCCGTTACGACTACAGCTGGATCTGGATGGTTTTTTTCCCACCTTGTTTTAGCTATAACTAGTCTGGCTTCAGATGTGCGATGCATGTTCTCGGAACACGTGGAATCCATTGTTCATTAAGTTGTATTCAGTTGCTTTCTTGGCCAGTTCATTGAGATGATTCAGAGGAAATTATACAGGACATATATATGTTTTACATTGTTTTACATTGTTTTACCATGAAAGTTGTTTGGGTAGACCCTGCTAAAGAAAACACTTGTTTCACCAACACGATGAATGGACCGGGTACCGATCTGGTTTTACCAAGAGTTTTCGCCATCCTCCGCGGACCTCGTCACTTCTATTTTTGGAGACGTTCACCCACTAAGTCATCTATCTTTTGCAGTTGAAACCATCTTCACATGTTGGATAAAATCGTACATTTCCCAGTGAAATCTCAAAAAATCGTCTTGAAAAGTGGTGGTACATCTGGGAAATCATCTAAAACTCCTGCAAATTTCCTATTTTTTCCCATTTTTTCCGGGTGAAATGCTCCAAATCCTCCACTCTTTGTGGGTTGTCCCATGGGTTTTGGGTTTTTGCCAGGCGTTCTTCGAAGCCATCGAGGTGAACGCGGTGGACGCCTCGACCTTGTTCGACTCCTTGGATGCCGATGGGGATCACCTGGTGAGCTACGAGGAAGCCGCGGTAGAGCCATGGGGAAATCCCATGGACAGCCAGGTGTGAAAACCACATGGAAACCAAGGAAACTTCACTGGAAACTTCACATGTTAAACATGTTATGTATATTTGTGTATCATGTTTGAGGAAAAAAATAATGTGAAACCCTTAAATAAATTTAAGATCATATCAGTGTTCACAAGTTTGGGAGAGGCAAAGAATTCGAATCATGGCCGCCATCCACCACCTCAAGTCAAAAATCCAGATGGGTATCCTCGTCGCTCCTTTACGCGCCATAGCCGTGCTCCAGGGCATAACGCTAGGCATTTTACTCTGGGAAACCTGTGAGCATCGAGTGTTGCGCAACCAGTTGCAGACTGCACTTAGGGAACTAGAGGCCATCAGGGAGGAGGAGATCCAGTTGATAAGGTCTGGTGCACCCATTTCTGATCCGCCACCAGGGGACAAAGCTGCTGATCTGGTTGAGAAGCCGAAAGGTAGTATCTGGTATTTTGGTTGGGGGTCGGAGAGCGAGGTGACAAGTTCTTTCTGGTTGCTCATTCCTCTGGTCTTAGTGCTTGCTTTTCTTTTGTTGGCTGGTAAACTCTGGATCTGGGTGAACGGTCAGAGAGAGGAAAGCCGAGTGACCGATAGTCCAGTCGCCAAGCAACAGTTGGCCAAACGTCAGCTTGCAGAACTTCGCCTAAGGCAACATGGCATTGGTAGGTAGAAAAGTCCTAGTGCATTATGCTGTAGGGGGTCCAAGACTTTGGCATGAGAGATATGTGTTAGCTCATGTTGCTGGGGATACGTACATGGTGGCTACGCCAGATAGAGACGTATATCCAGAGGAATTGGGCCTCTTGAGCACGGACATTCGAACTTTGAAGGTGAGACACCTGAATGGAGCTGTGCCAGTTGGTGTGAATGCGGCGGAGATTTACGGCTTGCCTAACTGGGCGCCAGCCGAATTGCAGGCTTTGCGAGATGAGGCCCAGCAACAGATGGGGCCAGCAGTTCCTGTAGCTCCAGTTGCTGTTGCCGCAGCTGCGGCTCCAGGAGGGCTGACAGGCACCACTGTGGATCCAGAAACTGGTTACCCCGGAGGGACTTTGAAGTGGCTTGCTGCTGAGACCTCCAATGGAGTTACCTATGGACAGGAAGTTGCCGGCATAGCTGTGCAAATGGTGCGTGGCAAGAAGCATGTACATGTGGGGCCTGCCGGGGAACAACTTTTTGTGGAATGCGTGGATGGGGCCGATTTCTGGGATTTTCTGCAACGGCCTGCTCATCTAGACATGCGGGTGCTTCCCATCAAGTTGAATGCCTTGCTACAGCCAGAGCGGAGTTTGGCAGAAGTTGCATCCATGTGCAAGGAATCCAAAGTGCTATGGAAGTTGTCGGGGCCCAGGACATCCCGGTGGTGTGTGAACTACCTTGCCATTGAGAACCTGGGTTTCGAAGGGCATCATGAGAGGCTCCGCACCATCACCAAGGCTGATGCTAGTAGTTGGGGCATTCAAGAACATTTTCAAGTCTCCATGGCTCTGAGACAAGCTCTACTCATCGACCAATTGGACGCTTTCAACCTGCTGACCATTGAACTCCAGTTTCGAAGGCTGCAGACCATTGAGTTCAGCTATGCGGAGAAGGCCCGAGAGATGGAATGGGCGGAAAGTTGTCATTAGAGGAGCAGACAACTTTTGGAGGAGTCACCAGACAATACTCCACTTTGATGGTGTGCCCAGAGCTTCTCACCCACGTTAAGGAGGAGACGGAGAAGGAGGCATCCTTGGCCAAGAATCTCAGGAAAGCCAGGGAAGAGCGAGAGGCTGCCCGCAAGAACAAGGGGGGCAAAGCCAAAGAGGACCCTTGAACTATGGGGTGCAGTCGGGAGAGGTCCCCGGCCTGGCTGCGACACCCGAGGGGCAAGCTGGGGAAAGGAGGGTTGCAAGAGATCTTTTTCCTCTACCTGGCGTACGTTTTTCACCAAGACCTTTGGGCCTTTTCTCCAGACGAAGTCAGCAGAGGATTGGCAGGCGAAGGCATTTTGAGGAGGAGGTGGATCGAACAGTGGTCTCCCTCAACCAGATGTATGGCCGGCCTAGGGCCAAAGCTACAACTGTAAAGCCAGTGGAGGACCTGAGCGCAGGCCAAAGACAAGTTTTGGAATTCATTGAGCAAGCCAACAGGAGGGTTGGGGATATGCCCAGCCTGACGGGCCCGGAAGCCTTGGAGGAGCTTCGGGTTTCAGAAGGTTATGCAGACTTGCCGACTGCATCGCCTTTGGGATCCTTCGTCCCCGAGCTTGTGTCACTACCAGAGGTGGGTGGGCAACCTGTTCCACTTGCCAAACTGTGGGGCGAGCGCGGGCAACAAGAGGTGGAGGACTTCTTTCACTCTCAAACACTTGGAGCAGCGGAAGCTGAAGAGCAGAAGCGGTGCTTAGGCCTGACGAGAACCTATGAAGATCCCAAATTTCGTGAACCTGGAAAGTATGCGGCTTTTGTGAGGCGCCTCTATGATCTGCATTTGGTGGATGTGTCTTTGCAGACGCCTGAAGAGTTTGTCACCATCTTTTTTGTGAAGAAAAAGGGCAACAAGCTTCGCATGATCCTAGATTGTAGGCTAGCCAATACTCACTTCAGGGAGCCTGAAGGCATTCAGCTTGCAAGTGCCGACAGTCTGTCAAAAATGGAGCTGCCTGAGGACACCCCATTGTATATGGCATCAGCTGATCTCCAGAATGCTTTCTACACAATGGGTATGCCGGAGCAACTGCGTACCTACTTTGGTCTGAGAAAACTGAGAGCCAGTGATTTAGGGCTAGAGCAGGTTGATGGAGTGAAGGTCAAGCCAAGTCAATGGGTTTTTCCACGAGTAGCAGTCATTCCTATGGGTTGGTCACATGCCATGTGGTGGTGCCAGCGGCTCAGCGAGAAGTTGGCGGAAGACTCTGGGCTGACTGCCAAGGAGAGGCTCAGGGATTTTGACCCCATTCCGGAAGGGCAGTTTTGGCATGTCGAATATGTAGACAATCTGGTAGTGTTTGGCACAGACAAGGCTCAGGTGGAGAGGCGTTTTTTGAAAGCAGTTGAGACCATGCGAGACGCGGGGCTTACAGTTCATGAGATAGAGTATAGTGAAGGCGACAGCAAAGTTCTGGGCTGGTCTATTGACGGCAGTGGCCGTGTGGGCCCCACCCTGGCAAGACTCTGGAGGATCCGGGTTGGGATCAGGGAGTTGCTGCATAGGGGATGGGCCAGTGGCCAACAGCTGGAGCGTCTTGTAGGGCATATGACTTTTGTGTCACTTTGTCGGCGGGAATCACTGTCCATTTTGGGCGATACTTATACATACATCAAGAGACATTACAGCAAAGCTGCGCCCCTCTGGAAAAGTGTTAGGCGCGAGTTGGCTTGTTGGGATGGATTGGCACCCCTTGTTTTTGTTAACATGACTTCACCATGGGATACAACTATCTATGCGGTAGATGCTTCTGAGTGGGGTATGGGTGTTACAACTGGTAAAGCCAGTGCAATGTTGGCAAAGCAGTTGGGCAGACATGTTGAGAGGTGGAGGTTCAAAGACAAGCAAGCTAACAATCCTAGGGCTTTTGTACAAGCAAGCGATCAGGTGTATGAATGCAATGCGTTGGACGGAGAGTTAGGATTTGCGAAAGCCGTTTCAAGTGGGGGGAGCAAACATTTTCAGACAGTGCCTTTTGATGTGGTGGACAGACAGTGGAGGGTGGTTGGGCGACATCGTTGGCTCAGAGAAGAAAGCATGCCCGTCTATGAGGCCAGGGCCAGCCAATATGCTATTAGACATGCACTACGTAATACCAGCAATTTTGGTAGAAGGTTCATCATACTGACAGACTCAATGACTGCAGCTGTGAGTTTTGACAAGGGTAGAGCCAACAGTTTCAGGTTGCGCAGGGTATTACAACAAACATGTGCATTAGCATTAGCGACAGGAACCTTTTTCCGATCCCGTTGGGTGCCTAGCGAATGGAATCCTGCGGACCGACCGAGCAGGGGGGGTTGGTTGCCCTCCTGCCCGGTCAGACGTTTCTGGGAAGATGATTCACCGGATGTTGGGGGTTCCAGTGACATGGGATCGATCCACGAAGAGGAGGAGAGAACCAAGCTCAGCAGCAAAGTCTGTCCCAACAACACCAAGCAGCATGGAAGTGCCCCTGACTTGGGACATAGAGCTCAGCCGGGAAAAGGGTCAGACAAAACAGAAGTTGCGGGCGAAGCGAAGACAGAAGAAGAAAGAACAGGAGCCGAGCAGAACCCTCATGAGGGCCTCAGTGGGTCCGAAGACTTTGAGGGCCTACGACAAGCACTGGAATGCGCTGAAGCAGTGGAGCAAACAAAGCATCTCATCAGACATGAGTTTCAAGCAAATGGACAATGTTCTGACTCAATACCTGGAGTACCTGTACGAGCAAGGCATGGATCTCAGTGTGGCAAACTATGTGACAGCAGCAGTGATTTTCCACATGCCGGGCTCCAAGGGTTTAGCTTCAATGCCAAAGAGTCAGATGTCCATGAAGGGGTGGCGACGTTTGTGCCCTCCACGTGCCAGGATGCCAGTGCCATACGAGTGCGTGTGCCTGATGGCAACCAAAGCAGTGGAGCAAAAGCAGCAGGAAGTTGCTCTGGTCCTTCTGTTGAACTTTGCCCTGTACCTTCGGCCATCGGAGCTGCATCGGCTAAGGGTGCAGGACATTGTTCGACCCATCAAGAAGGGCAGGGGGAACTTCCGGCACTATGCTCTGCTGTTGCATCCCACGGAAGTGGGAATACCATCAAAGACAAAACAGTGGGACGAAATGATCACCCTCGATCTGCCGCAGCATCAGTATCTGGGGCCTGCTATGGAAAAGGTGCTCAAGCTGGACAAGCGGCCCAAGGCCGAGTTGGCTTTTCGGGTCACCATGACAGAGGTGGACACCTTTATGGAGCAAAGCTGGAGCGCTCTGGGCCTAGATCCAATGGGGGCGCCAAGCCTCTACAGACTGCGTCATGGGGGGGCATCCTACGAAAGCCTTCACAAGTTGCGAGAAATGACAGCCATCCAAGCCCGAGGCCGATGGCAAAGTGTCAAAAGCTTGAAAAACTACGAGAAAGGAGGCAGGCTACAACAGCTTTTTGGAAGCCTGCCAAGAAAAGTGCAACAAGCAAGCGAAGACGCGGCAAAAAGGGTCAGCAAGCTCTTCCTCAAGCTGCGTTGAATCCTGCAGCCAGTTTGACTTTTGCAGTTTTTTTGGAAATTTTCTGTGGTTGTGGGCGCTTGGGACGACGAGTGGCCGCACAGTGCCACTGGCCGGTTCTGCTATGGGATATATCTTTGGGGGAGCAGTATGACCTGACAAAGCGTGCAAACCAGCAAAAAATCATTCACTGGATGCAACATGGTTTGGTACGTGCAGGGCATTTAGGCACTCCCTGCAACAGCTTCTCACGAGCTCGAGACAGACCTGGAGGACCACCCCCACTGAGGTCTGATACGGAGCCAATGGGCAAACAGTTCCTCCAGGCAGCAGATGCGGCCAAGGTGCGTATTGGAAATATCCTTCTCTACTTCAGCTGTCGTGTTTTGGGCTTAGCCTTGCAGTTGCATTTACCATTCACCTTAGGGAACCCACAGCGTTCTAGGTTATGGATTACACCACCCATTCTCCGGTTGCTTCGTAAACAACACTTTAGTTATGTGGATGTGCATTTCTGTATGTTTGGAACTCCCTGGAAAAAACCCACGAGAGTTTTGGGATGCCACTTGAATTTGGATGGATTACAGGTTTTTGTATGCAGCAGCACAAAGCGAGGTATTTGTGCAAGAACAGGAAAGACCCACGTCCCGCTTGTCGGGCAAAATGTAGATGGGCAGTGGCTCACCAAGATTGCTGAGCCATACCCATGGAAGTTTGCCACAGCTTTGGCCAAAGCGTTTTACAACACAGAACTTGCTACGATCGCAGCAGAGTTTGCGCGACATCTGGATCTCCCTCGGCGATAACCAGAGGGCTCAATCACACAAGTTTTTGCAAAACCGGGCATGATTCATTTGGAAACGCATCGCTGCTATCTTTGGTTTGCTGTGGTAGGTTTGGAATAACCAAGCCTGCAAGTGCTTTGTATCAACCTGGCCAGAGCAGAAAAGACTGAAGCCGTGCCATATCAGTGTTCACAAGTTTGGGAGAGGCAAAGAATTCGAATCATGGCCGACATCCACCACCTCAAGTCAACCCTCCTCCCCCACCCAAGGTGGTGGGAGGGGGCATGATTCATTTGGAAACGCATCGCTGCTATCTTTGGTTTGCTGTGGTAGGTTTGGAATAACCAAGCCTGCAAGTGCTTTGTATCAACCTGGCCAGAGCAGAAAAGACTGAAGCCGTGCCATATATTTAATTTTTGAGCAAAAACACCAGTGGTGTATGGATATATTGTGTTGTGTTCTGTCTGTTGTGTGGTGTTATGTTATGTTGTGCTGTGTTAGATCATGTTGCGTCATGTTGCGTTATGTTCACACACCCCAGATGGGCTGGGAGGACTCTGAGAGGACCCATTTGCTCATCCCTGTGGTCAAACCTTGGCGGATTCCCATGGTGTGAGATGGATGACCATACCCCATTCATCTCATGTTGAATCCGGTGATGATTCTTCCCCATAATCCCTATCATGTTCCCATCAAATTTGCTATCAGAAATTAATGAATATCTGGTTGATGCTTTGGAACCATGGAATTTTATGACTTTCCATTCAGTTGGGAAAAAACCCAACTGACGAGTTGTCCATCATTTTTCAGAGGGGTAAGTATACCACCAACCAACCAGATGATCCCAGGATTTTCAAGGATCAACCCCTCGTGGGATTGGTGAGGAAAAATCACAGGAAACCTCAATGAATTTGATGGTAAAACCCATGGTAAAACCCATGGTAAAACCCATGGTAAAACCCATGGTAAAACCCATGGTAAAACCTCGTGATTTTCCCAAGAAAATCACTCCAATGATGGTAATTAATTTGAGATCCATTGACCATATATGATGCCAATGATGGTCATTTATTGATCCAATATTGGCATCGTATATATAATATATATATAATTATATATATAATCCAATATAATCCATTTATGCCAATATAATATACTCATTAATATACTCATATATGATCCCAAAATATATTTTTATAATTTATGATAACCCATGATATAATAATGATATTCATATCATTTATACATACATATATATATAGATATACACCATGTATGGTAATTTATTATAAGCTATTAATATATTAATCCAATATAATCCCAATGATCATCCCCTCAGATTGCCTTTGGGACTCCACCGGAAAACCAGGAGTTCTGCCAGAGATGTACCCAGCTCCACGGCAGTGCACGGGCGGTGGACTTGTTCGCACTGACGCAGCAGAATGGCAAGGTGCGGCACGGTGGCAGAAGCGGCCAAGGGCACAAGGGGTGTTTTCCAGGGAAAATCCATGGGATATCAAGGCTTTTTTGATGTTTTTGGCATGTTTAAAGTTTAAACCATCCAAATATATCCAAATGTAAGATATACCCAGTGTTAAAGCATCCACATATCTGAATTGAATTTGGGGTTTTTACCTTATTTTCAGGTCATGTTGAGGTGGATTTCAGGAACATTTCAAGCAGAAACCATTGAAGTTGGTGCGATGATTGTAATACGCCGCAGGCTTTGCATCTTAGATATTACCATGAGATATATTGCCATCATTTGGAATGATGATTATGATTTATGATTAGGATTCTAAGCATGTATAAAAATACAAATACATATATAAATATAAATATAAATATGAATATATGCATGCATGCATGCATGTACATCCATCCATCCATCCATCCATACATCCATCCATCCATCTATACATACATACATACATTTATTTATTTAATTGTATTTACACACACATATATATATATATTTACATTATATATGTTTCAGGTATGGTTATAAGACTAGAATTAGACGAGATGATGAGATGCTTTACTGATCTTGAAAACGCTCCCATGGCCACACTTCCTGCAGGTTTGGGACGAAGTTCTAAGTCTCAAGACACAGCAGCAGGAGGCCGGGCCGCCGGAAGGCTCGTCCCAAGATGGGTTACCCTCTGGTAAACATACAAAAAGCTATTGAAAATGGCAATTTATAGTGGATTTTCCCATGAAAAATGGTGATTTTCAATAGTTATGTTAGTTTACCAGAGGGTATGTCCGGTTTGCATAGGTTAGTCAAGCCACATCCAAGGACTTTTCGCACGTAAGATATCTGGCTGGATTGCTTCAGATGGATCCGATAAAAGCAAGTCAGCGCCCGCGCCAGTCCACGGAGTGTCTGAAGTTCATCTCGCAGATCTTGATGCAACACATGGGAGATCCCATGCTCTGCGTGCAGGTACCGGGTGGTGTCGACCGGGTCGTGTCAACCTGTGACCATGGGGCGGAAGATATAATTATGGGATAATCCTTCCCATTGACTTTCATATTTTTCAGAGGGGTAGGCCAACCACCAACCAGTATATCATGATGAATTTTTGTCTGGACATGTAGGTGTTTGGATCATATTTTGAATCAGACACCATCCCCAAAATGATGAGAAATAGGTGATGCCATGGTGAAATTGTAGGTTTATCATTGGGCCAACTGCTGGTCACCAATTGGATGTGGAGATCCCCTCAGGGAGGAAGGTGAAACTCCCATATTGCCAGGAGCAACTGCCAGATTATGAGCAGATACCAACAGAATCAGATGGAATTTTCGTCAGTTTCTACTATTTTTAGCCTGACGACTGCAAGGCTGGGTAGACCTAGTGATGCTAAAAAATTGCACATTTTTCGTGGCACAGTTTTCGTGGCCTCAATTTTTCCCCATCATCAGCGGACTGAATCTTGGTGCCCCAGATTCGTCAGCTATGGTTACCCGGCCTGGTAAACCTACAAAAAACCATGGAAAATCACCATGCTATTAATGGGTAAATCAACTGTTTCTATATGGCCATTTTCAATAGCTATTTTGACATAACCAGAGGGTATATCCTCCATAAACCATAGAGTTCACCAAGTTATTTGCGTCAACTGTTGGCGACCCCCCAATTTTCGTGGCTAGAACACCTTCCCCGTGGAAATCTGCCAGGTTAGCTGAGGCCAGTACCCGCGAACGGAAAGCCTTTTGGTATTACGTCTGTTTTGGGATTTCTGAAGTATATTCCATGATTTTTCTGCCCAGTAGAGTTTCGCTCTTGTCCCTTTCGTCATCAAGTCGTGTCGAGGGTTTCCTACTGAGGTGATTGGTTGGTTCCCGCTCGGTATTGGATAAATATGAAAAAAATAACATGTCATAACTTATAACTTCTGACTTATAACTTAGAACTCAAATCGCTTGAACTGGGACATATTAGCCGTGAAAGCCACCACTTGCAAAATTTTGAATTATAATTCCACAAGCTGTTGGGCAAAAGGCAAGGCCAGAATGGCCGTCGAACCGGGTATTGGTCCCCCTTTTTTGCTCTACGCGCATGGAATGGTGAGATTCGTGCGGTGCAAGCTGCTGGTTGTGATTCTAGATCTTGATTTTGTTACATATATATATATATATAAGTATCACATCTTTAGATCATATATATATATATAAGTATCATATATATTTATCATATATTTATCATATATTTATCATATATGTATCATATATGTATCATTTATTTATCATATATACATATATTTATCATATATTATATATATATATTGTTGTAACTATAGACATGCACTTATGTCCGCATACTGGCCCAATATTTTAAAACATTGTTCGACTACCATCATTGACTGTTGTTTTTGGAATTCCTTTTACTTTTGCACAACATCTTCTACGATACATATGAACATGGCGAACATGCTTCCAACTAGGTTCCCGCCTGCGACTATATCTATCCACAGCTGATGGCAACACAGATTTGTCATGGCTCAGGTGGTCAACAACGGTTATGACGTCATATAGGATCTCATACGCATAGAAAGGATCACCTCGGTTATACAATAGTATAAAGTGTAGCTGGTTGGTGGTTTCAAACATTTTGTATTTTCCATGTCATCCTTCCCATTGACGAACTCATATTTTTCAAGATGGTTATTGCACCACCAACCAAGTAGGATATGGCCCTTCCGATTCATGAGATGTCCAAGCTGACTTTTGGTCCACCGCAAATCCACGGCTTGTGCGAAGTTGCGACGTCGGTGAGTGTTTTTAAACCGAAGGTTGGCAAAGTTAGCCCCATTTTGCCCCTCAAATGGGCAAGATGCCATGCATTGCCCCATCGCCGTCAGATTCCGTCGGTTGGATGTTCAGATGTGCATGATGGATGAACACCTGCAGTCAACAGAAAAGAGATGTGAACAGTGGGTGACAGTCGCAGTCATAGTGCTTTAAATGGTGGTTTTCAGTAGTGATGGTCACTGTCACAAGGAGTGAATCCCATGTTTTTCATGGTGGTTTTTGCCCGTCAATTTTTCGGTGAGCCTCTCCTTTTGCTTCAACATAGGCTGATATCTTGGCGAATCTTGGTGATGGGTGAATGTTTTGCCATAGTGAAAGCATCATATGATAAACCCAATATAAACCATGCAGAGTTGGAGGATTCTTGGGCTTATGCTTCTTACATGGTGACCTGATGGCTACCTACGGGATCCTACAGTTAGCCATGAGAGCGGGAAAACAATCCCAAAAAGAAACCGGGAAAAAAACAATCCCCCCCAAAAAATTGCGGCCCATTTACCATCGGGACCCCAAACTGCTTGATTTTCTCTTTCTGTTGCTGGTGTTGCTGGTGTTGCTGGTGTTGCTGGTCGGAAAGAGCGCACATCAGTTCAATCCAATCCGATTGTTTCACTGTAAGCGGTGCAGCGCGGGGTGTGACCATCGATGGGAGCCAGAGCCCCCTAAAAAATGACCCAAAGAATGGTAGTATAGGTAGTGAAATCCTTGATTTTTAAAACATGGTATATAGTCATAGTAATTATAGGTATAGTGAAATCCTTGATTTTTTTTGGACTGAACATGGTAGACATCTGAATTTCTTGTTGGTAGAATCTCATGTTTGTTGCTACGATTGAAGACCCCAAGGAAACCTAAGTATATACTTTATCTGTGGGACAAATTCGCTGGCGAGGACACTTCCAGCATAGGCAAGTAAAGCCTAAGTATGCCAAAATGTCCCTAAAATCCTGTAGTTTCTTTTTTTTTTACCTTGATCTGGCCTTGGAGTATTTTGATCACAGGGCCTGGTTCTTGGATCGACCTCCAGCGCTGCACCCTGCCCATCAACGAATCGGACACCGTACATGTGTACGATGCCGGCTGGTGTACCTGTCATGTGTGCATTGCTATATCTATAGATTATCACCATCATATATAAAGTCACTTTATAGTCATGACTCATGACTTTAAAGCAAAGATTCGCGGCTCAGCCTTTCAGTTTCAAGCTGGTTCAAAAGCCGGGTTCACCCTTCAAAACCTCGGCGAACGCCCGGCTTCACCGCTGCCAGTTTTCCCCGTCAACGTGACGGCTGCGGCTGCGGGACGGCTATGGACTTTTTTTGCGACGAAAGATCCCGGGCAGGTGAGACATCAAAGTGGGTAAACCCATTAGTGAAACGCAAATTATACATACCTGATTGGAACTGGTTGGAATATGCGGTTTAAAAGCACAATTCACTGGTTTAATATCGGTTTGTAATGGCTTATATTCCACTATAGTCCACTACTTTAAACAACAATACCTAATTGGATATGGTTGGATTAATATATAGCTTAAAGATGTTTAAAGACTCACTTGGACCAAACCACCAAAGATTGGTTGATTGATGATGGCCTCAAGTTCTCGCTCATTGGAGGAATGGAGAGGTTGCTGCATGTCCTTTCTCCCCTCGCTCAGCTCTTCAAGTGGTGAAAAAATCCGGGCAAAACACACAAGGCCATGGACCTTGCATCAACATAGGCTGATTTATTGGTGGATCATGAATAAAAACACACCAATAAATTTGTGAGGAGAAGATATAGAGAGAGAGAGAAGAAAATGGCTTAGGAAGAAAACATACCATTGACATCACCAACCCCAGCTGGTGCACATTTTCCCGCTGCATCCTGGCACGCCCCGCGTCGGTGTTGGGCTGTGTCATGGAGTCTCCTTTGGCTTTCGAGAGCGATGTAGGTGGGGGGCACTCAGAAATCGAAATCTGCAGGATTCTGCCGTAAAGAATGGTGAAGACCAATACAACTCGTTCCACCTCAGGTTGATTTGTAACATTTGTACCAGCCATTTTCTCTTTCTATCCATTTCTAGACTGGTAAATTATGGGGGGTGCTGTTCCTTCTTGCTAAGGCCTTTGAAACGCACACATTTCAATCTGAGTTCCATTTTATTTATCTAGGGACCAAAATTAAAAACTCGGCAATCTGATTCAATATGATTCCATCCTTCTTTAAGACGAGTTTTTGTTTCTAAAGTGATAAACTAAAACACTGTATAAACCAAGATGCTGTTTCTATACATTCAGACATTGTACATTAACAAGCCGTGCGAATATAGGCATACATGCATACGTATTATTCTGGGATTATGGGTTGTTACTGGTTTCATCGGAAAGTATCATGGGATGTAACATGATGTAACCATGATGTATGGAAAACCAGCACAAAATAGTGGTCTTTGCACTAGAAATGGGAAGAACCCTGGAAATTCTTTATAGCACCCACCCTCATCCAACCTTAAAGTGGTGGTAAATGGTATATCTGTTCTGCATCTTTTGGGGGTTATACCGTCGGTGGACCTTCTCGAAGTCCTGAGATAGAAATGATCGGCAAAAATTGGGTGATTTTCCAAGTAAGGCCTGGTCTGAATGGATTGGTTGAAGGGAAAATCTACAAGAAACCATGGTTTTTTCTGTGAAATATGAGGGTTTCCTCTAAATTTTCCTTAAACCGGTCCATTGGTGGGGCCATGGGGGCCGAGGCTCAGAAAGTCTTGGGGTGCGCAGTGAAACTTCTCACTGAGGCGCCTCTGCGGTTTTCTGTGTCGATCTTCGGGGCTTGAAGAAAGCTTGAAGTGAGTCTCAAAACAGCTTTCTGATGTTGCCGTATGATGCCTTATGCACTTGTCACGATTCTTGCACAACTTGTCAACATGGCATTTTGATGCGTTTGGGCTCAGCAGTTTTTAGTGTCCGCCAAAAGTGCGGCATTTTTGATGCCATGGGCTGCAGCTGCAGCAAGCAGCCGGAGCCCCGCAGTGGGCATGGACCAACATTGCTGAGCTCGTTGCGCAAACACAGAACCCACAGAGCCCAGAAAGGCCAGAAGATTCGTGTCTCGTGTCATGCTTCTGAAGGTTCCAAGTGGCACTTGGAGCTGCTGGCCGTGAGCGAAGACCTCAAAAAACAGCTGCAAGATCCGCAGTTTGTGGCTACTCGCTGCGACTTGGATGGCTCAGGAGACTTAGATCCTCATGAGCTGCGGCAGGCAGCTCGGGTCTATGGCATTGACCCCAGTTCAGGAGACCGCAGCACCGATCAGCTCATGGTTGGGCAGCGGATGAGCAAAGAGAGCTTTGCCGAAATGGTGGCACTTCGATCACAGGGACGCACTTTGATCAGAGCCTTGGAATGGATAGGCCGAAGTTTTGTTGTGCAGAAGCCATCAGAAGCCTCCAGATCTTGAATTGAATGTAGTTTGGGACCAATGTCGTACGTTCAATACATACCAATCTAATTAAAGAAGATGAAGTAAAAGCGGAGTACCTCGGGACCATGGAGTGTGACAATATGGGCGTAAAGTATATTCCAAAGTTGCCGGATTTTGTTCTCTGCCCAGGAACTATTCCGCACTCCTTGCGGGGGATGGCTTTGGGGCAGTTGCAGCATCTGGAGACGTTGTTTGTCAAGACTGGATGGCTAGCTGCAAAGTGCGAGTCCTTCAACACGGAGAACACCCAGGCCATTGCGAATGGCACTAGGTTCAAGCAAGGCCCGAACCTCTATGCGTTGGACACCTTCGTGGTGACCCCCATGACGAAGCCGGGGGCTTCTGAAGCACGAGAAGTGGATCGTCAGAGCACGATCGCAGAAGCAGCTGGGATGTCATCGTTCTCGGAGCTGGTGAATCCCTTCGGCCTCATCGTTCACTGCTTCGTCTCGCACTTCTGGGGCCATGACTTTCGAAGCACAGTCACGGCTCTCGAGTTGTGGGCAGCTGAGCACTACCAGACAATGACTTCGGAGAAGGAGTCCCTGGTCTTCTGGATCTGCCTTTTTGCCTTGAACCAACACAATGTGGCTGAGGAGGTAGGGCAAAATCCCCAGCAGGGCCCCTTCAACGCGGCCCTCGCGCAAGCCACTGGTGGCGCAGTGATGGTGCTGGATGAGCAGATCAATCCTTTCAAAAGGATTTGGTGTTTATTCGAAATTTCTCGTTTGAAACACTTGCAACAGCCCTTTGAATTGATCTGCAGCGAAGGTTCGCTGTCTCGGCCTGAAGCCTCTCAGAACGCTGCTTTAAGCACAGAGATGCTGCAAGCCACCTGCGAGGCCCTGTGGAGCGTGTCAGCTGCCAAGGCTCAAAGCTCAGTTGCTTCCGACAAGTACCAGATCTGGGCTGAAGTGGCCGACACGGGCTTCAACGGTGCTATAGATGGACTTGGTGCCAGCAAGTTTTTCCAGGCTGTCATTGATCAAAGTGGGGCCAATGGGTTGGAGAATTTGTTCACGGACTTCGACCGCTACATGCAATCGCTCCTTTCCACCACCATGTTTCAGTTCCTGCTGCGGCGAGCCGAGTATCGTTTGGCGGCAAAGTGCTGCCGTAGAGGAGCGCAGGTGAATTCTTCGCAAGTAGTGGAGATCAGCACCAGTTTCACCCAAGAAAGTGAGCGGACAGCCTGGTTGAACGACATGCTGATAGTGGCATCAGCGTCAGATGAATCAATGGCCAAGCTGCTGTTGGACCTTGGTGCCGATGTCAGAGCAGCAAGGCAAGATGGCGGTACAGCACTGATGGTTGCGGCTCAATTTGGCCACCTGCATGTGGCCAAGCTGCTGCTGGAGAACGGTGCCGATGCGAGGGCAGCAAGGCCAGGTGGGGGCACGGCGCTGATGCTTGCGGCTCAAGGTGGCTACGCGGATGTGTGCAAGCTGCTGCTGGAGAACGGTGCGGATGTCAGGGCCGCAACGCAAAATGACGGCACAGCACTGATGCTTGCAGCTGAAACTGGCCACGTGAATGTGTTCAAGCTGCTGCTGGAGCAGGGTGCCGATGCGAGGGAAACAAGGAAAGATGGAACCACAGCGCTGATGATTGCGGCTGAATGTGGCTTCCTGGATGTGGCCAAGCTGCTGCTCGAACAGGGTGCCGATGTGAGGGTAGCAAGGCAAGATGGCACTACAGCACTGAGGCGTGCGGTTCAATTTGGCTATGTGGATGTGGCCAAGCTGCTGCTGGAGCAGGGTGCCGGTGGAAGGGTAGAAAGCCAAGATGTTGTCACAGCACTGATGGATGCGGCTCTAAGAACTTTTCTTCCTATTTGGGGTCTGCGTTTGCATCCAGGGTCTGCAAAATCTTTGCCACAATTTGACCCATCATTGCCATCATTATATCATTCGCTGAGGATACATGCATGGGCAAATTGAATGCAGAGGGCGCGGCTCAAGGGATTTAAGTCCCCAGTATTGGAGAGGCCCAGACTCTTTCTTCACACCGCTACCTGCTGAGACTGGTGCGTGGAGCCTGGCGTATAACATAACAGCCGCGGCGACCAAAGGGAGGGTCATGTTTGTCAGTCAGTCAGACCAAGTCAGCCTTCTTCATCAGCTTTCAGAAGGCAAATGCGATGAAAAAACTTGAAACATTGTGATGTTCTTTTTTACAACCCCTACAGCCATAACAGCGGAAAAGCAGCAAGATGTCAACCAAGTCAGCCGCAAACAACTAGGATCAAAAACGTTGACAAAAGCAATCGCACGGACATGCGGCCAAGTTTCAAGATTGGCATCTTTAACCCGGTTGGAAACCAAAGACTATCCCATGATATCCCATGTTCGGCCGACTAAAAACAAATCCAAACAACATATTTTCTCCTGCTCTCCGTGTCCCGGCTGACCAAACCAAAGACCTCACCGTGATCGATTTGGTGATTCAATTCTTGTTCCTATTGCTACGCAAGGCGCCAAGAACAAAGCATTCAGGCACTCAGCGTCACCTCTTTCCTACCTCCAGCAGAAAGTCCAAGGGTCTGACTGCTGTAGGATGCTTTTTGTGACAGATGTTAACGCCCGTCATCGAACCTGGGACATGTATTGAGCTCCATTAACCGGGTCTCTTACAGGAGCGCTGGGTGGTGTGGTTTCCAAGATTGATTTTGTGATTAAACCCAATGACGCTCGCCGCAGGTTTGTTCCAGTCAGTTCCATTGACGTAAAGCTAAACAAATTTTGAATGCCAATGACATCCGTCAAAAAATTCTTGCGAGGGTGGTTTTGTGATGAATGTCAATGACATCCGTCACAAAAAAATCATTCGACGGCCGTTTTGTGATTCATGCCAATGACATCACACTGATTTTGTGAGGAATGCCAATGGCATCCGTCAACGCAGAAATTCTTTCCAGGGTGGTTTTGTGATGAATGTCAATGACGTCAGGCTGATTTTGTGAGGAATGCCAATGACATCCGTCACAAAAAATCCTTCGGGGGGGTTGCTGATGAATGTCAATGACTCAGGATCATTTTGTGAGGAATGCCAAGGACATCCGTCAACGCCAAAATTCTTGCGGGGGTAGTTTTGTGATAAATGTCAATGACGTCAGGCTGATTTTGTGAGGAATGCCAATGACATCTGTCAACGCAAAAATTCTTTGCAGGGTGGTTTTTGTGGTGAATGTCAATGACTTCACTTCAGGTTGATTTTGTGAAATGCGACATCCTTCACAAAGAAAAATCAGTCAAGGGCCGTTTTGTGATGAATGTCAATGACGTCAGGTTGATTTTGTGAAATGCCACTGACATCCGTCACAAAGAAAAAACTTTCAAGGGCCGTTTTGTGATGAATGTCAATGACGTCAGGGTGATCTTGAGAGGAATGCCAATGACACATCCGTCACCAAAAAAAACATTCGAGGGCCGTTTTGTGATGAATGTCAATGACGTCAGGGTGATCTTGTGAGGAATGCCAATGACATCCGTCACAAAAAAAACATGCGAGGGCCGTTTTGTGATGAATGTCAATGACGTCTAGCTGATTTTGTGAGGAATGCCAACGACATTCGTCACAACAAAAACTCTTCCCAGGGTGGTTTTGTGATGAATGCAAATGACTGTCGTCAGAAACGTATTGCTGCAGGGCACTTTTCAGGGGCTTGATTTGTGATGAATGCCAATGACTTTCATCACAAAATGCAGTTGCAATGAATGTAGAACTTGTCCCTTGGACATCTTGCGGGAGAATGGCAGGGCCAGGGTGCTTTTCGAACATGATTTTGTGATGAATGCCAATGACGTTTTCAGATTTCGATGCGGATTTTGTGATGAATGCCATTGGCATTCATCACAAAATGCAGCTTCAAAACCATACCAGCCATGCGGTTCGCCTATAAAACGTCCAAGGGGGATTTTTTTATTGAATCTTAATTGCATTTTGTGATGAATGCCAATGGCATTCATCACAAAATCCGCATCGAAATCTGAAGTCAGTTTTGTGACCGACGTCATTGGCATTCATCACAAAATCATGTTCGAAAAGCACCCTGGCCCTGCCATTCTCCCGCAAGATGTCCAAGGGACAAGTTCTACATTCATTGCAACTGCATTTTGTGATGAAAGTCATTGGCATTCATCACAAATAGAGCCCCTGAAAAGTGCCCTGCAGTAATACGTTTTCTGACGACAGTCATTTGCGTTCATCACAAAACCACCCTGGGAAGAGTTTTTGTTGTGACGAATGTCGTTGGCATTCCTCACAAAATCAGCCTGACGTCATTGACATTCATCACAAAACGGCCCTTGAATTATTTTTCTTTGTGACGGATGTCAGTGGCATTTCACAAAATCAACCTGAAGTCATTGACATTCATCACGAAACCACCCTCGAATGGTATTTTTTGTGACGGATGTCATTGGCATTCCTCGCAAAATCAGCTAGACGTCATTGACACTCATCAGCAAACCACCCCCGAAGGATTTTTTGTGACGGATGTCATTGGCATTCCTCACAAAATCAGCCTGACGTCATTGACATTCATCACAAAACCGCCCTCGAATGATATTTTTTGTGACGGATGTCATTGGCATTCCTCACAAAATCAGCCCGACGTCATTGACATTCATCACAAAACCACCCTGGAAAGAATTTCTGCGTTGACGGATGCCATTGGCATTCCTCACAAAATCAGTGTGATGTCATTGACATTCATCACAATGCTGTTTTTTGTGACGGATGCCATTGGCATTTCCACAAAATCAGCTAGGTGTCATTGACACTCATCACAAGACTACCAGACTACCCCCGAAGGATTTTTTGTGACGGATGTCATTGGCATTCCTCACAAAATCAGCCTGACGTCATTGACATTCATCACAAAACCGCCCTCGAATGATATTTTTTGTGACGGATGTCATTGGCACTCAAAATTTGTTTAGCTTTACGTCAATGGAACTGACTGGAACAAACCTGCGGCGAGCGTCATTGGGTTTAATCACAAAATCAATCTTGGAAACCACACCACCCGGCGCTCCTGTAAGAGACCCGGTTAATGGAGCTCAATACATGTCAAAGGTTCGATGTCGGGCGTTGACATCCGTCACAAAAAGCATCCTACAGTCCTACAGCAGTGAGACCCTTGGACTTTCTGCTGGAGGTGGCTGGTGCCGGCGCGCCTCATCAAATATGCTGCTATTGAAGTTCAAAAGCACATCCAAACACTGAGACCAAACAAAAGCAAGACATAAGGAAAACTTGAGGAGCAGTGTACCAAATTCACCCCTGCGAAAAACATGAACGTATGTGATAAGAAAGAGGTGACACTGAATGCCTGATTACTTTTTTCTCGGCGCCTTGCGTAGCAATAGGAACAAGAGTTGAATCACTACATCGATCATGGTGAATTCTCTATTTTGGTCAGCCGGAACACCGAGAGCAGGAGAAACATCTTGTTTGGATTTGTTTCTAGTCGGCCGAACATGGGATATCATGGGATAATCTTTGGTTTCCAACCGGGTTAAAGATGCCAATCTTGAAACTTGGCCGCATGTCCGTGCGATTGCTTTTGTCAACGTTTTTGATCCTAGTTGTTTGCGGCTGACTTGGTTGACATCTTGCTTCTTTTCCGCTGTTATGGCTGCAGGGGTTGTAAAAAAGAACATCACACTGGTTCAAGTTTTTGTCAGCGCATTTGCCTTCTGAAAGCTGATGAAGGCTGACTTGGTCTGACTTGGTCTGACTGGCTGACAAACAGCATGACCCTCCCTTTGGTCGCCGCGGCTGTTGGCCGGTGCGAAGCAGGAGTCTGGGCCTCTCAATACTTAAATCCCTTGAGCCTCGCCCTCTGCATTCAATTTGCCCATGCATGTATCCTCAGCGAATGATATAATGATGGCAATGAGGGGTCAAATTATGGCAAAGATTTTGCAGACCCTGGATGCAAACGCAGACCCCGAATAGGAAGAAAAGTTCTTCTCTATGTGGCCACGAGGATCTGTGCAAGCTGCTGCTGGAGAACGGTGCCGATGCGAGGGCAGCAAAGCAAGATGGCGGTACAGCACTGATGGTTGCGGCTCAAGGTGGCTACCTGGCTGTGTCCAAGCTGCTGTTGGAGCGGGGTGCCGATGCGAGGGCAGCAAGGCAAGATGGCAAAACAGCACTGATGTATGCGGCTCAAGGTGGCCACGTGGATGTGACCAAGCTGCTGCTGGAGAACGGTGCCAATGTGCGAGCAGCAATGAAAGATGGCGTCACAGCACTGATGCTTGCGGCTCATGGTGGCTACATGGATGTGTCCAAGCTGCTGCTGGAGCAGGGTGCCGATGTGAGGGCAGCATGGCAAAATGGCGCCACAGCACTGATGGCTGCGGCTCACTTTGGCTACCTGGATGTGGCCAAGCTGCTGCTGGAGAATGGTGCCGATGCGAGGGCAGCAAGGCAAAATGGCGGTACAGTGCTGATGCTTGCGGCTGGAGCTGGCCACGTGGATGTGTCCAAGTTGCTGCTGGAGAACGGTGCCGATGTGAGGGCAACAAGGCAAGATGGCGCTACAGCACTGATGCTTGCGGCTGAAGGTGGCTACCTGGCTGTGTCCAAGCTGCTGTTGGAGCGGGGTGCCGATGCGAGGGCAGCATGGCAAGATGGCAAAACAGCACTGATGTATGCGGTTCAAGGTGGCCACGTGGATGTGACCAAGCTGCTGCTGGAGAACGGTGCCGATGTGCGAGCAGCAATGAAAGATGGCGTCACAACACTGATGCTTGCGGCTCAAGGTGGCTACATGGATGTGGCCAAGCTGCTGCTGGAGCAGGGTGCTGATGTGAGGGCGGCAAGGCAAAATGGCGGTACAGTGCTGATGCTTGCGGCTGGAGCTGGCCACGTGGATGTGTCCAAGTTGCTGCTGGAGAACGGTGCCGATGTGAGGCCAACAAGGCAAGATGGCACTACAGCACTGATGCTTGCGGCTCAACATGGCTACCTGGATGTGGCCAAGCTGCTGCTGGAGAATGGTGCCGATGCGAGGGCAGCAAAGCAAAATGGCGGTACAGTGCTGATGCTTGCGGCTGGATCTGGCCACGTGGATGTGTCCAAGTTGCTGCTGGAGAACGGTGCCGATGTGAGGCCAACAAGGCAAGATGGCGCTACAGCACTGATGGTTGCGGCTCAAGGTGGCTACCTGGCTGTGTCCAAGCTGCTGTTGGAGCGGGGTGCCGATGCGAGGGCAGCATGGCAAGATGGCGCAACAGCACTGATGTCTGCGGCTCAAGGTGGCCACGTGGATGTGACCAAGCTGCTACTGGAGAATGGTGCCGATGTGCGAGCAGCAAGGCAAGATGGTGTCACGGCACTGATGCTTGCAGCTTTCCATGGCTACGTGGATGTGTGCAAGCTGCTGCTGGAGCAGGGTGCCGATGCGAAGGCAGCAACGCCAGATGGGGACACAGCGCTAATGGTGGCAAGGGAGAATGGCCACGAAGCAGTGGCTCGCCTCCTCCAAAAGCATGGTTGAATTTGGGCGTTAGCTTTTGGGATCTGTTCGGCGTAGCACTTTTCAGCTGCTGCCAAGATCGAAAATTCATTGCAATTGTACAGACACATCGAAGAATGGATTGAAAACAATGTTTTACAAAGAACGCTGAGGATTTGTCATGACCGGCGGATTGCAGTATCCAAGGACCATGCCCGGTGCCAGGAGTCCACCGAGTGTTTGAAATTCGTCTCGCGGATCTTGGTGCAATGGGGAGATCCCATGGTCTATGTGCAGGCGAGAGGTCAGGGTCGACCGGTGAACCATGGGGCAGAACGTGGCAGAACGTTTCTCAGAGATAGACATAGATGATTATGTTTTTGCCTGGGCATGTGGGCGTTTGGTTCACTCATGATATTTCATGGTAATTTGTGATAGGATTCAAAACCATCCCCGACATGACGGTTCGAAATGACGGTGATGCCATGGTTGCGGGGGATCCCCACAGGAAGGAAGGTGGAATGGTGGAAATCCCTTGTGAAAATTGCTAGGGTCATCTATTGCTACTAGCAAATGCCATGAATGAATCACATGGAATTCTGGTCAGTTTTTAGCGTTGCTAGGTCCTAGGTGAAATTCCTAAGTTATTGGGTAGACCTGGTTGGGTAAGTTGACGCTTTACATTGCTCGTAGCTGAACATTTTTTCCTATTCATTAGCATTCATTAGCTAAATTGCCATCATGAAATCAGCGGGAATCTTGCCACAAGTAGTTGGCGAAGAACACCCCCCAAACTCGCCTCCTGCCATGAAATCTGCAGCCAGGTTGGCTGAGGTCAGTAGCCTTTCGAAATTTTCGACGGAAAACCTTGTAGACTTCGAGGGCTTTTTGACCTCCTGGGGCAATTATTCAATCATTTTTTGTGCAAACTCTTCCAGTTGAAATTCAGCTGTTGATCCATAATATGGTCGAGTCGCAAAATCCGTGGTGGGGTTTCCTACTATTTCCTACTGAAGCGATGGTGGTTGGTTCCCTAGGTGCCAAAACGGTGTAAATCAATCATCACGTGTCACAAAAAAATGTTTCTTAAGCTGGGGCATGGCATACTGTTGCAGCCAAACTTGGGACTCACACGGACCGAGTCAGATATCTTGATAGTCATGCTAAAGCTAATGGATTGAAATCTAATTACTTATGAGCCGTGAAAACCAACATGTATATCGACTTCCTAAATATTGAGAGATGATTCCAGAAGCTCTGCGTGTCCCTAAACTGCAATTTTTTAATGGTTGGAAAGAGCTCAGAGCGATTCGGTCCAATTTGGCTGCGTTGCGGGATCTGGCCATGGGGGCCGGAGATGAGAAGAATCCCTACCAAACGGAAAGCGTTTCGATTCGGACATATTTGGAACATTTTGGAACCATGGTAGTTTAGGTGATGAGCTCCTGGATTTTTGTTGGGTAATGAGCATGGTAAACACCTGAATTTCTCGGTGGTGGAATTTCCTGTTTGCTGCTACACTTGAACACCCCAAGGGAACCACTAAGGAAGGCCTAGGTATCCAAGAAATCTGGACATCTCCGAGACATGTCCTGTATAGTGTTTTCTTCCAATCTTGATCTGGCTTTGGCATATTTTGGCATTATGTCTCTAGCTGATCACAATTACTACTTCCTGGTTCTTGTTTGGTGGTTCATCTAATTTAGTAAGTTACAAGTCCAGTTAAGGCTAGAGTAACCATGACGAACCCTACTTATCCCACTTATCTGGAATTATAAAATGTTATAACATGTTATAACCCACTTAACTGGGATGGGCCACCAAGTGGCGATTTTGTGGATGGCTTTTCTTATCGATCTCAGCGCTATACACTGCCTGCGCATCAACGCATTGACGCCGGCTGGTGGGACCATCATCATCATCATCATCATCACATATCAGAATATCCAATCATCATAGAGCTATCACAACATCATGCTAATTTCAAAATCTTATCATGACTTGACAGCAGTGAAAAAACGGGCTCACCCTGCCGGATTCGGCCCAGCGCGTCCGGCTTCATCGCTGCCTGCGACGAAAGATCGGTGCATTGCCGGGGGTCAACGGACGATAGCGTAGGCCGATTCATTGGTTGATATGTCGCGTTTTTGTTGAAACGTGGCTGATGGGAAACCAATGGATGGATTATACTATTGTTTTAAAATGATTTATATACTGCAAATTATAAGAAAGCACATTTGGGCCCCAAACCACCAAAGATTGGTTGATTCAAGACGTGATGACCCCAAGTTCCCTTTGTAAGCAGGTTGAACATGGCCTGGCGGCCTGCTCAAATCTGCTGAATGCAGCAACCAACGGTTGATGCATGTTGTTTTCCCCCTCCAATTTTGATGAATGAATGTGGCATGCTACGCAAAAAACGGCCCAGAAAAATTGGCATCCGAGGGTCTATGCTGAACTTGGTGAACAAAAACATGCAAAAACACGGAAGGCCGTGGACCTTGTATCAATTGTGGTTGCGTCTATAAACAAAATTGGCTATATGGCTATGGATCAATACCTATTAATACAATTTTTAGTGGGATGAACATCCATTTACCAGCTATTTTGATGTTCACCAGGGGTACAAGGTTTTGACACACTGCCATATAAATAGAATCCTTTTTTTATCGGATACGGTAAACGGTAGCTCCAGTTGATATCAACATGGCCTGTCCCGGTGCACATTTTCAGCTCGCCTTGCCACGCCCGTCGCGAACTGCTGCGTCATGGAGTCTCCTTTGGTCAGTTTCGAGAACGAGAGCGATGTAGGTGGGGGGCACTCAGAAATCTGCCGGATGCTGCGGTAAATAAGAATGGTATCGAACAATAAAATTCGTTCCACTTGGGGATGATTTGTACCATTTGTACCATTTCTATCTTTCTATCCATTTCCAGACTGGTAAATATTTGGGGGTGCTGTCCCTTTCTGCTAGGGCAGTTGAAACTCAAGAATGGCAAAGTTGTCCCCGCATTTAAATCTCAATGCGATTTTATCTAGGGACCGAACTTCAAAACTCGGCGATCTAATTCAATCCTTCTTTGCAACCATTTCTTTATAAACTAGAAACATTGTATAAACCAAGATGCTGTTTGTATGAATTCAGAATAATTGTACAACGACAGGCTGCGCGCATATACGAGTACACTACGAGTACATATATCATTAATATGTATTGCTCTACGGTTATGTAGAGTACATATAATATATATATATATCATATATAACATATATCATATTGTTACTGAACTCATCACATTGGAAATGTGGATGGGATGTGGTTCCAAACCATTGGCCCATCGGGGGCCAAGGCTCAGAACAGTCGGTGGAGAGTGAAGAGTGCCGTGTCGGTGTTGCGGTGGTGGGTTCAAAATTCTTTTGTTTTTAGTGCTGCAAATTGTTGGTCGGGGATTCTGGGGATGATCATATATATATATATATAATTATATTTATAATTATATTGGGATTACATTATATGATCATTATCTGATCATAAGATTATGATAATTGGATGATACTTGGGCATTAGATGACTATGTTGGTGCTTCTTGGGAGGATTATTTGGATGAGAACTGGGATTATGCTTGAGATGGTTGGACCCACTGGCTGCCATCAACTGGATGATACAGTGATGCCTTGGTGAATGGGCCAGGAAGCCGCAATCCTGAACGGCTTCTCCCATCTTTTTGGTCTCAAAAAATGCTATGTTTACATATCCAAAAAGCGATAGACCCATAAACATATATAAAAATGGTATTTGTTATTTTCCAACATTTTTGTGATTTTTTGTGAACCATCCAATTTTTTCGAAGATTTCCTCAATTTCTCAGACAACCGGCCGGGAACTCCACCGAGGGATCTTGAGATCCTGGAGCAGTTGAAGGAGGTCGACGCCAGCGACTTTAAGGACGAGATGTCATGGGATATGGATGGATATGGTAGGCTTTTGTCAGGTTTTTTCCACCGATTTCATGATTTTTATGGGGATTTGTCTAGTTCACTTTGGATTAAATATGATGAAATGATATGAAATGGATGAATGGGATACGCTCAACAAAGGGTACAGGACCAAGAATTTGATGGGAAGGCGAAGTGCTGGGGAAAATAATCTTTATAAATATGGATCTGGGTGATATGCACATCACGTGCAGTGACAAACAGGGATCTAGATATAATGTAGTATTTTAATGGGATAATATTGATATTACACACTGGGCGAATCCTCCGGTGGACCGAGTGATCATCCCCAAACAGCGCAAGGAAGTGGCAAGAACAAGAAAACCTCGTTATTTTGGACATCATGGTGCAATACCTATCAATCATATACATGTACATTGATATAGTGTGTATATATATATATACACTATATATAAAAACATACAACACATCATTCAAATCATACGGTATATCATGTTTCTCCGGCCATCAATTTGCCACCAGTCGGTGAGTCAGACTATCGGTCGCCATGGGGCACCTGTTGACAATCCCGGTGCAGGAAGTGAACTTTCCACTTGCCATGTCTCAAGAAGTGCAGAGTGCTTGGGCAGACTCTTGGTTTATCAAGGTTTTTCAGCAAGGACCATTGAATCTGCAAGATGTTTCAAGCATGTTTAGATGATTTATTCATATTTATTCCAGATCCCTGACACAATGGTTCCAAAAATCCACGTCAATCCGAGTCAACCACAGTCATTTTTATTTGGATGATTCCACAGGTGTTGTGGAATCCAGTTTGATGGACGTTTGATGGCTTTTTGATCAACATAAATCCGATATTATCTGATTCGAATTCCTGTTTTGCCTCAATGATTTCCATTTCCGTTTTTGTTTGCGTGGTGCGGCTGTGTTTTCTTCATCGTTTTCCTCGTGTTTCATGATTTTCTTGCTGCTGTTCTGTTTCTTCCGTCCTGCTGCAATGTCCACACGATCCGAACATAACGGTTTTCCAATATGTATTTCCCTTGATTCCGCTGAGTATCTCTGGGCAAAAAAGATGGGGGGCAGCAAACATGCCATGGAAAGCAAATCAAGCAGGGAAAACACAATTTTGTGGGCGTTTGATGACAACATGCAATCCAACAAAACATGGTTCGCGTTCTGTTTTGATATTTTTTTTTGATACAGATATTCTGTGATATTTTTTGAATATCTCCTAAATATTTCTTCCTCCATTCGCTTCTTAGCTGAACTCACCAAGGCCTGGATCAAGCAGGCTGGATCTAAAGAAGTGGCAGGACGCCATCAACGCCCCCATGGCCACCATGGGCATTTTTCAGCAGTGACAAGTGGTGAATGATATGGTATAATGAGGTGGGAGAAGCATCAATTCATATCAATTTTGAATGGGGATGGCTGGGATGGATAGATAGATGGATGGATGGATGGATGGATGGATAGATAGATAGATAGATATCATACTAATGATTACTAGTGGGATTATTTTATTATTACGATATACTAGTTGGATAATGATTCTTGTGAGACGTGCCATAGCTAGGGGGCCTCACCAGTAGCCCATGGCCACCGGGGAAACTGATGAGAAACCTGGCTGGATTTCGATGGCGGGAATCTGGTTGGGTATTTCCAACGCGAATGGATGTGTTGCTAGAAAAAGTGGCAAGCCCAATAAGAAACCTTCCATTCGGATCCAGAAATGGGATAGTTTACACTACCCATTTCTGGTGAAATTAGGGTGGTTTAAGGCGTTGGGGTTGCCATACCCAATAGATCACCATATATCACCATGATTGCTGCTTATTTTCCCCAACATATCCAGATGATTTTCCGTATGAATCAGCAAAATCACCATTGATTATCCCTTCTACAGTCCCATTATCATTGGTTACAATTCATTGAATTGGTAGTTTGCATCCCGATCCGCTTTGATTTTATGTATCCCCATTCATTTCTGCGAAATCTTATGACACGCTCATGGTTGTTTCCCAAATACTGGTTGATGGGAAATCTGCACAAAAACCCAAATACTTGGTGGTAAAAACCAGCCAGTTGCCGATTTAAGATTTCCCGTACATCAATCCATTGAATTACATTGTTGTTGGTGAAATCTTGTTAGATCCCCATTTTCTTGGTCATATCTCCATTTTGGTTGGTGAAATCCCCATTATTGGGGGTTTGATCACCATCAAACCATGTTTTGTTTCGCCATCCACCAAGCACCTCCGGCCAGGAGACAACTTCTTCACCCAACTCTTCGATTCAGCACCGAGTCTCCAAGCGTCCTTCCGCAGTCCCAAGGCGCCAAAGATGGGGGAGATCATGGTTCGAAGTGATGGATGCTTGAGTACCTTTTTTTTTGGGTTATGCTGCCAGATGTTTTTTTTGATAATATATTGTACATTGATGTACATATTTTTATATATATATATATATATTAAATATATATTATGAAAAATTAGCACGCTAACATTTCATGGGATGGTATACGTCTACATGTATATGTATGGCTTAGACATAGCCTCCACCCATGATGCTAGCATGTCATATAATGGACCGTTTATTGTTATAGTAACAAAGAATGGCCGGTTATCTAATAAGAATACATTGGAGCACTAAAACACCGGCCACTCATACTATTGTATAAATTTTATATTATATAACAAGAGCGATGTTAAACCAATTGTATTTTATATAATGTCGAAATCATATTAAGTGAATCATATACAGCATGTATGTTCCATGACATATCCCGTTCCATTCCATATCCTGTTATAATCTATTATACATATCCCATGATATATAATAAACACAGGATACATAATATAACACATACCAATTGCAGTAGTATAATGGTGGGTTTATGACATTGTTTTATCCAAACTATTGCCATAGTATACAGTGATATATCCAATACATTCATCCTCTGCAGGCGGTGATCTCAATGCGCTTCATGACGGCCTTGAGCCAACTCATTGTGCTCTTGGACAACGCCACGGTGCTGAAGCGCGAGATCGAGGTCGGTGGATTTTTTCTGGCAAAATCCATGGGTAAAATCCATGGAAATTGAGTGTCACATCATTGTACTGGCCAAGCATTTGGGGGTTACTGGATATGATACTGTACCCTGTGGTAAATAAACATAGACCCTGAAAATCACTAATTTTCAATGGAAACTAGTCTTCCAACCGCTATCTGCCAGGGTCTATGTTAATTTACCAGAGGGTATATCAAAATATGAATTCTGGGTTGGAAGATGGAATATTTTCCGGAAAAAAATGGGAAGGTGATGAGAGAAAACACGATAGTTCCCCCTGGAATTCATTCATCCATCTATAATTGATTTTGCCATTTGAAGCATCCATTTAGAGAGATTTATGGTGGAATATGGTGGATTTCCAATTGCCATTGCCATGTTGATTTCCGGAGGGTATATACTGTATATATCCACTGTAATGAAAATCGGATTATCTCCAATGGGCTAAGCCAAAGCTGATGGTCAAAGCCGGACCTTGAAGGATAGTGATGTGAAGGTATTTTCAACATGGAAGTCCACAAAGAAAGCTATTTGGTTGGTGGTTTGGAACATTTTTTCAATATATAGGCTAGGGAATAATGATCCCAACTGACGAACTCATATTTTTCAGAGGGGTGGCTCAACCACCAACCAGCTATGGTTGGAGGTTTAAGCGACTGATGACATGCCTTTTTCCATTGAGATGATGCGATAATCATCGAACATGACTAGATAGGCAGGCATGGTTCGAAGTACCTGAGAAGCTGCCGGGATTGATCTGACCATGAAGAAACATGACAGGCATTCCGACACAGAAAGACTCAACGATGGGGGAGGTAATGAATCAATTGAGTTCATGTGCTTGCTTTTCTAACATGTTCTTCTAGGCACATCATTGGCCCATGATTTTCAATGAACATGTAGGGTATATCAGGTATATCATTGCACCACCCCCTCCGAACAAATCAAAAAGAAATAACATTCAGTTTTTAGATGTTTTTAGTATCTTCCCAAAAAATCCAAAAGGTATACAGTACAACTTTCCATTTTGCCATTCTATTCTTTCGACGTTATCCGAGCACTGTCTCAACTTACGTAAAAGTGGTATTCGCCCTCCGGTAATCAAACATAGCAATGGACAACCCTCCATGTATAGACGATTTTCCCATAAAAGCCTCCATTTTCTGTGGAGAATTCCAGAATCGCCATGTTTCATTCATGAAAAAATACATCAGAAAAAATCCACAGAAGATGGAGGCTTTTATATAAAAACATCCATGTTTTTTTTTTAGATAAAAACTATATAAAAACAACCATGGCGCCAGGATGCCTATGTTTTACCAGCCATTGGGCAGCCACATCGCGGCCAGGCCTTGGCCTTCAAACATCTGGACGTGGAGGTCACCGCTGTGAAAGTGGCCTTCTTCCGAGAGGCCTTAATCGAGGCCGCCGCTCTGTCTTTCTGGTGGATGTTTTGGAAGCAAAAAAGGGAAGGATGTCCTGATATCATCTGATATCTATAGGTTTTATATAGTTTTTATATGGTTTTTATATGGTTTTTATCTCCTGGAGATGGCATTGCTCCTGGAGATGGCATTGGAGAGAGAGAGAGAGAGTGAGTTTTTTTTTTTTTGGAGTATGATGTATCAACTATTTATTGTTTTTGAAAAGACGATCGTATTAAAATGCATTGAATGAGGGGAGTAATTCATGTGGTCGCATTTTTTTGCTGAGTGTTTTGTCACAAAGATGGAAGTGAGAAGTTATGCTTAATTAATCTTAATTATCGATTAGCGCAAGCCTATTCAGACGCAGTTCTGTGGCCAGTGGTCAGGATTTCTTTTTGCCTCCCAGTGTGTGGTGATTTCAATCTTTTTTGTTGTCACAGACTTGGAGAATGATCAGTGGCATTTCTATGATAATGAGGTCGGTGAACATCACTAACGACTCTTCTTGGTATCCCTGATATTCCGCTTCAGATCCTGTTTCTATTGATTTTCGACCGGAGTTTTGTGCGAAATGAACTCAGCAATACTCCATACTCAGCATTTCAGGTACATTTACCCTCTGGTAAACATTTACATAACTATGGAAAGATCCACCATTTTTCATGGGAAAATCCACTATAACTCAGCATTTTCAATAGCTATGTTTGACATAACCAGAGGGTATATCCCATTAAATCCCATTAAATCCCATTAAACCACCATTTTCCTATGGTAAATCACCATTTTCCTATGGGATTCCCAGCATTTTCCCACCGGAAACCGCCCACGGAGGTGATCGAGGAATCGCTGGTGGAGGGGATCTTAAGCACCTCTGCGCGGGGCGGTTTCTACTGCCTGGTGAACTACATCGGGAGCGCCTTTCTCTACGTCCACCGTGACTGGGCGACGCGGAAGGAAAAACGTTGGCGTTTTTCCAGGGCGAAAAGGACGGAGAGGTGGGAAACACGGCCGGCACGAGATTTCCTCTTTGATTTATGAGAAGTACTATGCCTATGCATTAGTTTTTTGAAAGAAAATGCTGAGGTTCATAGATTTAATGGGTGGATTTTTGGCCGGAGATGGTACAAAATCCAACTGCAGCAGAACATGTTTCGTGAGGTGTCAGCAACAGGATTGGGGATGGAAAACACCGAGGTTGCTGGTTGCAACAAGAGCTAAAAGATGTGCATTCAACCAGCAAATTTTGGATTTGACAGACATGGGACTGCAGCCAGAACAAGGGGAAGACTCCGGGGAAGACTTAACATACTTAACAAATTGGCGATATACACTGATATACACGCAAACCACAACCAACTGAAGACATCAACAGTTGGACTTTGGCCAGAAAAGAAGGATTTCATCAGCACGGAACATGATGAGTCATCCAATAGCCACGCCAGATGTAAACCAGCAACATGGACACACACACACAGATGTTTCATGTACTGGTTGGTGGTTTGGAACTGAATGTTATTTTCCATAATATATGGGATAATCCTTCCCATTGAAAAACTCATATTTTTCAGAGGGGTTGAAACCACCAACCAGTGTATGTGCATTTGCATCATCATAGCGGAAGTGAAACGCGGGTCACTGAGCTTAGCCTAGGTGAATATGCCGGGCGAATCAGGCAGGAGGGCACGGGAAGATTGGAGTTTTGGTACCGGCTGCAAAGTGAAACTAGTCAATGGGAAAGGAAAAGGAAAACTGGTTGGTGGTTTGGAACATGGCTTTTATTTTCCCATATATTGGGAACAATAATCCAATCCCATTTGACTTTCATATTTTTCAGAGGGGTGTCTCAACCACCAACCAGGGAAGAAATTTGGACCCCTGGGATTTTCTCTTAAAGAGCTGTGCCAACGAATAGCAGAAAGGATGAATTACTTTGAAGATGATATATGGCAATTGTGCCATATCAATGTGTTGATACACGGTTAATTTAATTGTTAAAGAATGTTAATTGTTTCAACAAATAGTCAGGGGTGGTTTTAGCCACCACTTGATACAGACAACTTATCAACATTGCATTTTGTACTGATAGGTCAATTTCAATGCCCTGAAGATTGTGTAACATGGTTTAAACCCAACTGGTTGTATAAAACCCCAACCAATTGGTTGCTCATTATTTCGTCAAGATGGGTTGGTCTAAAAATACAGTGCCCGTAAATGAGCTTGATTAACTATAGTTCATGTACGTAGTTCCCCCATTCAAATTGCCATTTGGGGTTATACCCTTATCTTTAGACAAACCATACCAAACCATATGTAATTAATATTGTCGGTTACAAAAATATCCCATCATACCCCATATTTTTCATGCCTGCATCCCAACTATCTCCTTGTCATGTTTCTATGGCTCCATCCATCACATGACACGTTGTTATACAACGGTTATACAACGTGATGAGTTGGACATGTGGGTACTACATACGTTATGTCAGTTGGACCATGATATCCATTGATATCCCATCGTTGTTGCCCCATTGTATCCCATGATTGGCCAAATCTGATGGCCTTCGCTGACTGTGGAAGTACCAGAGGTGATTTTTGTGGTGGTTAATGGTGGTTAATAGTGAATTAGTGGTGATTAATGGTGGTTTTAGTGGCTAATCGTGAATTAATGGTGATTACCTCTGGTAATTTAACATAGCCATTGAAAATGACCCACAGAAATACTTGATTTACCTATTAAAGATGGTGATTTTCCATGGCAAACTGTTTGTTTACCAGAGGGTTCCATGAACTTCACCATTTGCCATCCCCAACTGTTCGACCTTGCCAAAGGGATTAGAATTTTACTCTCCCCACTCAAAAATGGCTATTTTCAGGGTTACAGTAAACATGATCAAATTGTTTCAATTGTGGAGATACTAAACATCATCAAATCCATCAATGTTCCATGAAATCCCACCAATATCCCATCAGGCATTGCCAAATCCTTCGTGAATTGCTTTCGGTACCCTCCTCGTAAACTAAGATCTAAGATAGATGTCAAAATCCATGGGTCATGGGAAACCGCAGGTTTTCCACATCTTGCTGTATGTCTATACCTTGTTTACCTTAGGGATACCTTATGCTCTATGGATCAATGGGAACTTCAGGATCCTAAAATGGAGGTACTGTACCATATAAGACCATATTTTATGGGGATATTCCCTTACATAGGCCTTATATAGGCCTTATATATGTTAGGTACCTCCAATTTAGGTTCCTGAGATGGCCAGTGAATGGACAACCGCCTTTTTTTCAGCGCTTTTAGGCTGGTGCTGAGCAGCTGGAACGCGGTGCAGAAGACCATCGAAGCGGCAGAGCCGGTGCCGGTGCCGGAGGCCGAGGCGTGGCATTGAAGCTATGGAAGGGATGGGGGGATTTCCCATTAAAAATGGTGATGTTCCCATTAAAAATGGTGGATAGCCATGGAAAATCACCATTTTTAATAGGTAAACCATCAATTTCAATGGGCCACCTATACCATGTTAAAGAACCAGAGGGTATAGGGAATTAGGGACAACGGATGTAGAACTGGAGATTTTTTTGCGGATATTTCATGGGATATTTCATCAAATGTGGGATATTAATCGAAGACTAATGGGGATCTAAGTGGGAAGATAATTGGAACATGCCCTTTGGCAATATATCTGGGATATTTGCATGGAATAATAGTGGGGATCAGTTTCCGTTGATACATCTGGGATGTTTCACGGGATACGAATGGAATATGAATGAGGTGGAATATTAGTGGGATAATCATGGAATATTAACGGGGACCCGCACCTTTCCCATGGATTTATGGGGATTTGCAAGGGATTTATAGGGATCTGATTAGGAAGATACTTGGAGTATACCCTTTGGTACTCAAATATGGCTGGAATTATTATATGGGATATGACTGGAATATTCATGGGGTATGATCGGATATCAATCAATATATGTGGAATATATGATGCACATCATATATGGTGAATATATTATCATCCTGAATGAGGAGATACGGAATAATCATTTATACGATAAACGGACTATTTTCCATTTAACATTTTTATTACCATCTTTTAAAAATACTATATAGTCATATATCTGGATGAAGTTGATCACGACCTCACTGCGACATCACTGGAATTAGGATTGGGGGAACTACCCCCAGCCAAGCATTTAAGATTAGTGATATAATGATATATATTACAACAATTTACCCAGATGTATGATGCTGACAATATGGTGCAAGGGTAATCAAAGATGGCATGCATCCCGGATGGCTAGCACTTTCTCAAAATAACATAGCTGTGATACAGCTTTGATGTTCATATGACTGCTTATGAACCATAAAGAAGACAAGGCGGCGTATAACCATAATGCTTGACAATAGCCAAAGTACTGCATGCATAAATGGCGTATCAGAACCGGTCATTTCACCCGGATGAAATACGCCATGCCCTCTCTTCGGACGCCAGGAGAAACAAGAGGGCCGGGAGGATGAGGGCAGCCAAAAGCAGGACGGGGCATGATTTGTGGGAGGTTTAAGTGACCAAATTTGGGGATTACCAAAAGTGATACGTAAGATTTTTTCCACCAACAAGGATTCCGACATGTTTTAACCAATTAAACCAACAATGAGATTAGACATGCCGGTAAAAGGTACCCGCTTAAAGGTACAACTACGGTACAACCAACAATCCCGTCAACGTTGGGGTTGGTATGAATATCCAATCCTGATGGTGACTTTGCAGTGCCGCTCTAGGACCAGGATGTGAAAGGCAAGAATCACGAGAGTGAAGAAGAAGACGCTCGGCGGCCGACTCTGCCGGATTTTTTCCTTTTTGGAATGGTGAGAGGGCTCCAGATATCTCAAGATGATTCAACAGATTTCCAACCCGCCCAACGGTAAATCAACAAACCATCGACTTCATCTGGTCTTTCGTGAGGCAACTGCCACTGCCCAGCGGGCACTCTGGATCAATAAATGCATTTGGGGTTGAAACGGCTGAAAAATGGTGGTGAAAAAAACATGTGAACACGTAAAAAAAACCATCCAGATCTGCCACTGCTGAGGAGAAGGGACATTACGAGAAGGAGGTGTTGTTGGGGGCCGGTTGTGATTTGGAAGCCCTCCCTTTTCTGAGTGAAGCCAAGTTTCCAAAAGCAGATCCAAGGGTATATAGTCTGTGTTGGTGGTTTGAGTGTTGAAAAAGGGCGTGTAAATTAAGATGGATCTTGGATCAGTAGCCGCCAAAGGATGTTGATGATGTTGCCCATTCCGGAAACAACTCACACGTTTTTTTTTTTCATTTTGGATGTTCCAAACATGTTGGACGAATCCATTCCGAATACCCATGTCCGGAAATGAACATTTTGGCATTTTCAAACATACCCATAGAAGTTTCATATATCTATCCAGTTACATTAATTATTGAAGTGTTTCAAAGCTGGATAGTTACCCATTATATAATAATATATCCAATTCATGTTTGAACATGTTTGAACTTATCCTTCAGATGTTCCCCGAGAACATCCAGGACATGTTTGGCCTGGATGACAAGAATCCCATGCGCGTGCCCAGCAACTTCAACGAGATGTACCTTGGTTTTGTATGGCCTTGGTGCAGGAGACCAGGTTTACCGGCTTCAATTCAATCTAAAATCTACGGGCCTTAGATAATATGGATCCTGTCTCTATGTATCTATATGTAACTATATATGTACTATAACTATATATGTATATAACTGCATATGTATATATATATATGCATATGTAACTACGTAGGTATGTATCTACGTGTGATTGCACGTACGTATTATAATATAATGTGCGGTACGGTACCGTAAGGTAATATAATGTATGGGTTTGTTTGAACATGTAGGGGGAAAGCCACCAAATTTTCATGGTAAAGAACAATTTTCCTTATTGTAATGGCCATAACTTGGTGGTCTAAAACATTTTCAAACACACCCACATGTATAAGACTATGTGCACATATCTTCGCGTTATTGGATAAGTCATGATGCGACCTCACTGCGACGTCACCCAAAATCGCCTGAATTGAGGTTTTTCACATGGGAAAAACCTGCTGGTTTCCGGCGAAACATCCCAAGAAAACGGAACCATTGAATGATGATTGAATGTGACAACTCCAAGGATTTAAATGGTATGATTCAGTATGTAGGGAATAAACAAATCAAATGCACACGTATAGAACATTCAATAAAACTAAACTGAACAAACCTATAAATCCTATAAACATATATAAACATATAGTATGATGGCTTATCTATTCAATGGACACATCCTTTTTTTTTTCGATTCGCCTCGTGGGCCAAAAACTGGCGGCTTGGCGGTACCTCCGGTGAGGATTCTCTTCAACGCCTCGGTCATGGGATGCTGGGATGGTGCTGAGTGGTCCTGTTTCAATTGAACAATCATAGGTGATTTAATGGTGATTAATGGTGATTTAATGGTGGTTTATATGGGAATATCTATGGTTAATGGTGATTAATAGTGAATTAATGGTGGTTAATGGTGATTAATAGTGAATTAATGGTGATTAATGGTGATTAATAGTGAATTAATGGTGATTAATGGTGATTATTAATGGCTAATACTAGTAGTGAAGTAATGGTGATTACCCTTTGGTTATGACTAACATAGCCATGGTATAGATGGCCCATAGAAATAGATGGTAAAAACCTATTAATAGCATGGTGGTTTTCCATGGCGAACTGTTAATTAACCAGATGGTAGCTATGTTTGGAAGGATCTCTATTGTTTTTTTTTGGGGGGGTTCAATAGTAATCCCCAGCTTAGTGGGGACTGTTTATAATATACTTACTATACCCGGCTATGTTTCAGTAGCTATTGTTTCAATTAGTGGAGTAGTTGTTCGATAGTTCTTTTTCAGAATAGTTGTGAAAGATGTTTACTATTGGGGCTTCAATAGTAATTAATCCCCAGCTTAGTAGGGAGTATTGTTTTAATTTCTATGTATTCATTAGTGTATTATATAATTACATAAACAACTATATATACATATATTATAACTTATAAGCCACATGAATGGAACACATATCAACTATCTATCACCACATAGATTTGGATCCCAAACATGGCTTGCTGGAAAATGTCCCATTTAGTTCATGGATTTCCCAGCCACATTTGATGACACCCCCTTTTTGGCCTCCAAAATGAACAGAGTCAACACATAAAATGCATCCAAATTTCGTCATTTCTGATCATTTCTGATGGGGATTACCGATTAATACCGATTAATACCGATTAATACCGATTAATACCGATTAATACCGATTAATACCGATTAATACCGATGACCATTGATCATTCAACACCACTATATTGTCTGGCGTTTGTTTCTGATCATTTCTGATCAGACAAAATATGGTGATGACCCGATGGATACCGATGACCATTACCCATTTCAACGGGATTACCCGGCCTGGTAAACATACAAAAAGCTATTGAACATGGCCATGGAAATAGTTGATCTATCCACTAAAAATGGTGGATCTTTCCATATGTGACAGTTGACCAGGCCGGGTAGACAATCTTCGCCCCTTGGCGGACGTGTGTTTTTCAGGATATGGATCCTGCGAATGGATGAAGATCATGCTCACGCAGTTCGACGACATGGTCAGGAGCACTGGCTGCAGCTCACCGGAACACTGCACGCTTTACCAGTTGGAAGGTGATTTGGGGAACCTTCGGTTACCATAACTGGTTGATGGTCATTTATTGATCCAATATTGGCATCATATATATAATCCAATATCCATATAATCCCATATAAACCATTAAATCATGGATTGTGGATATTGTGGTCAAGACATGTCAAGTCAGTTATTTCGGCCTTTTGTTTTCATGTTGCCGTTTTGCAGACACATCCGTTCATGAATGATTTTTTTCGAGCCACACATTTCGGGCCAGGAGTGTGACGAACTTCTCTCGTTTGCAGGAAGAGTGCGACGTGATGTCGTTACTTGGACGATTGGACACGTCAGCTTCGTAGCCGGATGAGATGATGATTATGAGGATTTCTTAGACTTACCCTTTGGTAAACTAACATAACTATGGAAAATCACCATTTTTAATAGGTAAATCAACTATTTCTATGGCAATTTTCAATAGCTATCTTAAATACCAGAGGGTATATACTGGTTATTTATATGTTGTATCATAGTGCATATGATACCACGGGTAAAATGAAACTACGAAAGGATTTCTGTTCGAATTCGACCGTGTTAAAAAACACGAATTTGAAGAATTCGGTTAAAGAATCGGTCGGAATTGGAATGACAAAACATCGTTTTCTCACACACCTTCTTTGCCTAGTTGAATCTTGTAGTGTTGCATGACATGACATGACAATACAGTATATACATCGCATCACATTAATTACACACATACATACTACTACATACCTCCGCAATCCTCCGCACACATATATACACTCGTACAATATATATATATATAATATTATACCTACGCATTCGTGTACAAAGTAGATACCCAAAACAACACCAAAATGTGCGGTTCCACGTTTCGCCCCAATCGACGAGCCAAAAAAAAGGCTCGTCTTGGCGAAGTATCGCGGAACCGTCCACCTGCCTGACTTCAAGGCGCCGAAGCTGCCGAAGCCGATGGGAGGATGGGATCCTCACAACCTTCGGTGACCATAACTGGTTGATGGTGGTGGAATTCCATGTGCCATCTGGTTACTTAAGAGTTTGCCATAGAAAATCACCATTTTTGATAGCTAAACCATGGTAAACCATCTATTTCTATGGACCATTTTCCATGGCTATGTTAAATAACCAGAGGTTACTTATTTGTGAACCTATCACCATGAAAAAAAAAACACCTATCACCCACCATATCCTACCATCATTTATGGTGAGAACTCGCAAATATTCAAAGATTGTATGTTTGATTCTTATCTCTGAATTACCATGTAATTTAAGCGTGGAAGATTGGATATATATGATGATATATGGGCTTCCTCGTGAAAAACACGACCAAGATGTTGGGCTGTAACTTGTGGGTTTGGGTTTGGGGTTCCCCATGTTTCAATGTTTAATTTGGACACACCCAATTCTGAAATATGTTTTCTCCCATAAGAGTGATTCAAATATATCGATTCTCAAAGGGGTAACGGATAACATTGTATTGAGGATATGATCGAGGACCGAGGAACTGGAAAAAATCCTCCAAATCGATCATGATCAGGGTTTCCAATTCTTATAAAAATGCCAAGGTTTGTTGTAGCAACCCCCCCTAAATCATGCCCAAGAGTCTTTCGGAAATGCTAGTTCTATGTTTTTTCCATTGTTTTGCCAATGTTTTCAAGGTTTCCAGCTTCTCTATGACTGGGGGCTGCTGTCCACTATTAGTGCACCTACTTAACAACCAGGATTGTATCTGACAAGTATCGATCATTGGTCATAATTAAAAACCACCGCCAACGAAACATATCATTGATTATGGTCAAAGTCCAAACATGGTGTTTAATTGTTATAAAAGTTATATATATATATATGCTGCTTTTGTGGGAAATTCTGGGAATATAACACTATAGCAATGACAATATATATATAATATTAACCATTATCAACGATTACTCACCATTACTCACCATCAATAATATACCACTTCACTATATTTTACCGGATTATGAACCACTATTTTTCACCACTATTAACCACTATTACATATAGTTATATCACCATTACTAACCATTACTCCTGAACATTACTAACCATTACAATAACCATTACTATCACCACTATCAACCATTACTAACCATTACTAACCATTACTAACCATTAATTACTAACCATTACTAACCAGTACTAACCATTACTAGTTCCATGTCCCAACATCTCCCCATTTGTCAACTCCTCATGTCAGGCGGTGACGCTGGCGTCTCTTCGCTCGCTGCTGCCGGAGAAGTGGGACTCCGAACACGAGGCGCGGTGCTGCCGCCCATGACAGGCCATGGTGACCATGTCCCCGGATGAATACACCATGGTTTTATGATGTTTTATGGAGAATATGATTTCATTTGATAATATATATATATATAATACAATATATATATATATGTATATATTATATAGTATGTAATCTTATGTAATCTGGTTTTATGGATTAGGGGTGGTACTCCAAGAGTCAGAATCTGATATAATCTGATATAATATAATCTGATGTAATCTGATACAATCTGATGCTTCGATGGCACCCTCCCAGCCGGAGATTCATCGTTTGGGTTGACTTCTAGGTACTTGGAGGATCATTGCAGCGTAACTTTTAAGCAGAAAATGCCAAGAGAACCTGGGGGTTGGTCCAGCATATCGTGACATCCTAAAGCCAACCAGGGATTATATGAAATTAATATACATTAATGATCATTATAAAACTAACCAGGGATTATATCTTCAAGAGGTCTGTGACGTTTGAAATCGGGAAGCTATTTGACAAGCCAGGTCGCGAAAGCCACGTTTGGATGCCCCATTCAATGGGTAGATGATAGCCACTGCTACCCACTGGTAGCCCCACATAAATGAGGCCTAAGGGCTAAGAAATCCGGGAATATCCCTACAAAATATGGCCAAAATGGTACAATACCTCTATTTTAGGGACCTGAAATTCCCATTGAATGCGTGTAGGTGGCCTGGAGTTGGCTGTGGGACAACATCGAGGGCCTACTGAAAGCCAGCCTTGGGAAACCTGCAGCGCCTCGCTGTCGGCATATCATGGAGATATAACGGAAATCAATATGTTATCTGATAGGTGGTGATTGGTAAATCATTTTTAAATTATATGTGATTTTTAAAGTATGTGTGATTTTTTACCACATGGAAAATTATTTTTAAAATCGGTGATTGACCACATATATTTACCAATGTGCAGAAAGATGTGTTATTTTAAATGCAGAACGATCATTTAGGTATTGATGGAGTAAACGTAGTAATTACTACAAATAATTCGTAAGATCCTTACAAATGCGATCTAGAATGCATGACTATGGTGGTAAACATAGTAATCATTGTTGATTGATTATCATAATTAATGAAACCTGACAATATCTATTTTGATTAATGACAATAAGCATGGTTAACATACGGTTAATAATTGAGAATAATATAACAATGAAATTGATTGGAAGGTTTATGAGACACCCCAAAATTAGGACATCAGTGGAACCGTTGGGAGTGGAACTGTTGGACGTTAGAATTTTTGAAGGCACCATCTTAGGTTCTTAAGCCAATGATATGCCAATTTGGTACCAAGGATATTTTCGGGTACCCTTGAGTTCTTGGGATTGGTACCCCAGTTGCAAACCATTGATTAGTTTCCAGGATCATTTAAGTACAAACCCCATATGTTTTGCTGGTTGTGGTTGCGAATTTAGGGGTTAAATCAACGGAACAGGTAGGGTACCACCAGAGAAAAACAGCTTTTTGATGGCCTTTTTGTAAGACCTTCCTGTGTCTTGAAATATATGGGTGCTGGTGAAAATGATTGGACCCCCAAGATGGATGTAATCTGATATAGTGGTGGAATACATTCGAAATTGCTCATTTTCTGGGCCCATTGGTGCTCCAAAGTTTCACCCATATCCATTTATAGCAACCAAAACAAGTTAAAGAAGCAAACGCTCCTCCAATGTGGCAAGATGCTTGTTATATCATGTTGTATCTATTTGGGTTGCTATAATTAATGTGAAAGGCGGCCTCTACATGGTGAAATTGCTGGTTGTTACTTTGGGGATATAGCCCACCATCCATCCTCTACCATTGCATCCCTATGAATAGGTGCTTTTCCCCATGCATACCACTACCAGACTATCCCAATCAATAGATAGTTCCCATCATTGATAGTTGTTTTTCCAAGTTTTTCCCATGTTTCCTTTCATTAATAGTTGATTTTCTCATTTTTCATATCATTAATAGCTGATTTTCCAATGTCCCCTATCTTTAATCGATGATGTTCTAATTTTTCTATTGTTCCTATCATTAATAGCCGGCTTTCCCATCATTAATCGCTGATTCTCCATGTTCCTATCATGAAAATAGCTGATTTTCCCATTTTCCTATCATTCGTCGATTGATTTTCCCATTTTTCCGATCATTCATCGATGATTTTCCCGGCAAAGAGCTTCCACTAGCGTCTCAATCCCCGATCTCCGAGGTGCAGGAAGCATCGCTGACCCGCTTCTTTGAGAGATATCCGGAGCCTTGGAAGGATCAATGGGATGATTGTAGGGTAGCCCATGGTAGCCCCTGGTAGCCCATGGTATTTTCGGTGGTATTTTCGGAAAGCCAACTGGGAGAAGCAGACCCCGAGGAATCGGTGGAGAAGTTCAAGAGATCCCTCTTCCCCACCTTCTTGGAGATCGCTCCGGCGGGCCAGGATGAAACGATGTCATCGTTGCTACGGAAAACGGTGATGCCATGGGGCCATGAATGAAACGGTGATACCATCCTGGTTTTATACCATGAACATCCAAAGGGGACTGAAGGCATGATGATCATGATGGTTACAATATGCAATGATTGCTTGATGGTTGCGACGGATATGGACGTGGACGGACCGGGGCTACAACTCAGAAACATGGTGATTGAAGTGAGTCACCAAAACTAGTGTGGGTATGTGGGGGATGTGGTGCCCGAAAATCATGTGGGGAATGTGTGGCTCTTCTTCAAGATGCATTTGTTGGTTGAAAAAGTTTGAAGCTGACAATCAGATCGCCATGTTTTTCTTGCTTTGAGATTCCCGCTGTTTGTCGTATTTTGGAATTAATGATGCAATATGCTGTTGAATCCACATGTTTCCCGGTGAATACATATATATAATATATTATATATAATATATATAATATATTATATATAATATAATAATATATATATATGTATATGTAAATATTAATTACACACACATATATATATACATGAGTACCCGAAAAAGACATCGGCATTTGAAAGTAGTAGAGAGCTGCCCTGAACTTTGCTTGCCTTCACGAAACCTTCACAACCGATAGGGGACGACCCAGCCTAGATTCCATCAAGTTCCTACAATAATCTGCAGCACGGTGTTTATTCATACAGCAACGGCTACACTACGTCAGTTAACTTTCCTCTTGGAGACCACCAAGCATATGGTTTGCGGCAATTCATGCACCATTCTCACCATACCCTAACCAATACTCTACAAACGGCTACCACATTTTGCAATTTGTCTCTGTTGCCAAGACCATGTCAACATATTAGTCTTACTGCTATTGCTGCTACTACTGCTACCGCCACCACCATCATTACTACTCCTGCTACAGCTACCGCTAGTACTGCTGCTCCGATACCCCTACCCCTCCTCCTACTCCTCCTACTCCTATTTCTACTGCTACTGCTGCTGCTGCTACTGCTACTACGACTACGGCTATGATCGGCTACGGCTGCGGATACGACTACGACTACTCATAACTCTATACTGCTAGTGGTACTGGTGCTGGTGCTGCTACTGCTACGACTGCTGCTTCTGCTACTACCTCTTTTACTACTACTGCTGCTGCTGCTACTGCTACTGCTACTACTGCTACTGCGACTGCGACTGCTACTGCTACTGCGACTGCGACTGCTACTCCTACTCCTACTGCTACTCCTACTGCTACTCCTACTACTCCTACTACTTCTACTACTTCTACTACTTCTACTACTTCTACTACTTCTACTACTTCTACTACTTCTACTACTTCTACTACTTCTACTTCTACTACTACTTCTATATACTACTCCTGCTGCTGCTGCTGCTACTACTAGCAGCACTTGCTGCCGGATGTTATCAAAGAGCAAACATCTTCGCAAGTAGGGGGCACCAATTATACTTCCAACATCTTCCACAGTGGCCGGCCAACATCCAAAACTGATCCTGTCAGTCAGATATCAGCTGGAGGACTTCTTGAAGCAATCCTCCACGAGGATTTTCTTCATCTCGGACAAAATCGCCACCTTGGCTCTGGAGATCTATCGTTATCCCACCAGGCGGATGGGACTTCAGCACCTCTGATGTGTTTTTTCAGTTTTTTTTCCATGTTTTTTTTCCATGAAAGAAACCATTGCAACATTGGGAAAAAGGGCGGTTCATTAGTGACTATGAGTGTGTCAACCGACCCTTTTTAGTCGCCATTTCTTGGTGACTTATAGGGATGATTCATCACAGGGCACGAAGGTGCAACGGCGAGCCGCTGGCAATACTGGCAATACTGGCAATGGGAAATCCCGATTTTTTTGTTATGACAACATATGAGAATATTGAGAATATTGAGAATTGGGCGTTGTTAAAATTGATGGATTCCCAAGTCACCATGGGTTTCAATACTTGAAAATAGCCCTAATGACTTTGATGAGTTGAGGGTAACCTCGTTTGAGGAGTCCTCCAAATCATCCATAAAAAGTCATTAAAAACTTAACTTTCCAATGCCAAGTGGTTGCGTCTAATGTTGGGATCGGATTAGAAACCCCCGCTCAATTAGACAAGTGGTCATAATCTTGCGGAACCCGACCATACTAAAGAACAAAATATTGCTGAACGAATTGGATAATTGAAAACGAATACATGATGTCATGTTGGGATCCTTTTAATGTTGTTGAACAAATTGTGTGATTGAAAACGCATACAAATAAGCGCTCAAGAAAGCATAATTATGCATTAAACCAATTAAACTAATACCGCCCGAACAGGTTGGCGTACTTTATTGCAGGGACCTTTGCAAATCTGTCCCTGGCAGTTGACTTACTTTATTGTGGGGGAGTTTACCACATGAAAACATGTTCAAAGCCGTCGTCGCCAATATCAAACTGTCACTTGCTGGGGGGTGACAACATTTCTGAAGTTGAAGTCATTTTTTTTGGACGTGATAAACCCCAGAAAAAACAACAACACACAAAAACATTCTTTGGATATCTTGGGTATGATTTAATTGGGCCGCACATGGTGGAATTGGGTAAATGGGGTCCACCACGATAATTTATCATAATCTGCCCCATTCATCCCTTCCCCATATATTTTTCTTATCCATTTTATCCTATAAATCCCCATCCATCACGCTTCGGAGGGTAAGGCTCGTAAACTCGCTGGCATCTTATTTGTGAAGTGGGTTTATCTGACAGTAGGCTACCAGACCACAGAACATGGTTGAACACATCATTTTTCAATGTTTAATTGCGGTATATTGGGGTAAACGCCCCACGTTTTTTGGACATGCATGACACATTTTCCCATAATTGCACGCTTTAATATGGTACAGTGCCTTCATTTTAGGGTCCTGAAATTCTCATTTTTCAATGGATCATTTCCATCAAAATCACCACCACCAACAAGCATAAATACATCCATTGAATCACCATTTTCTGGTTGAAATTCAACCATCAAAATCACCATCATAAAACAGCTAGAAACAGCTAAACATACTAAACCACACCATCTCATTCATGGTGGGTTTTCCCAGCCAAACCTGGATATCTTCGCATCGTCATCCAGGATGGTGCAGGAGACCTCGGCCAACGGCCTGCGCCACGTGGGCTACGGGGTGCCCATCGAGATGTTTCCACCCTTCGTCTCCGGCGCCGTGATGGCGTGCCCTGGAAGCCCTGGATCCGATGTGGCGATGAATTCCATGGAAAAATCTCGGAAACATCGGTGAGTTTCTATGGAAAAAAATGGGAAAATCTATGGAAAATCGATATAAGATATGGAAAATGAAGGAAAACTATAGATTTCAATCCTAAGTTTGGGTTTGAATGAATCCGACCTTTTTGGTGGCGGAACAATTTTAGCTATCGAAGGTCACATTACTCAGCTCCATTAAGTTCCGTTCAAACTCCTGTTGGGGTTCAGGGTTCCATTAGGGTTCCATTAGGGTTCCATGATGTTCCATGGTCTTCTTGAATCAGCATTGGCAATCGTCAATTAGTCGATTAGTTATGATTAGTTCTTGTCCATGGATTGTTCATTGGTTAATATTACATGGTTAATATCCATGGATTGTTCTTGTACATGTATTAGTCTACAATTATGGTTTAGTTTTAGGAAGCTCTCCCATATTACATGCGGTTAAATCATGGTTAATATGGGAAAATCATGGAAAATTCCATCCATTTTACAGTACATGGTTAAAATCAGGGTTAATATGGGAAAATCCATAATCCAATGTTAAACCAATATACCCACATGGTTAATATTAAATGGTTAATATGGATTGGTTTGCTGCAGATTTAGACTAACCAATCCATTAGTCTTTGACCCGACGACGACCTGAGGATCCAAGCTCTCACAGACGACGACATGGTGGTTGAGGCAGATCTCAACATGGCGTGCATGGAAGAAATGAAAATCCCCAGATATCCCCAGTTGATAACTTGATAGGTGTTTTATCCTAATGATCTCTTGTCTATAGGGTCAGTTGATAGGTGTTTTATCATGTTTTTCTCCCATTATCATCCACTATCTATAGAGGGTTTCAACCATCCAAGGCGGTGCAGGACTTCGCAACCATTCACTGATGATCAAACTCAGTTCACTGGAGGATAGTGCTTTGCAATCTCCCCATCTTCACGGGGGATATGTGTGTGTATATTATATATATATACATATATATATATATATGTCTATCTATCTATATAGGCTCCATTACATATATATATATCTAACCACCAACCAGTATATATATACATATGTACCCTCTGGTTATTTAACATAGCCATGGAAGCCATGGCCCATAGAAATAGATGGTTTAACTATCAATAGCATGGTGATTTTCTATAGCTACGTTAAATCACCAGAGGGTATATACATGTGTGTGTGGATAACTATGGATAAATTATAATCATTGACCTCACAATGACGTGACTGTGCCTTCTTTCAGCTATTTTCAGGTTAGTTATAATTATATATTATGTTTCGGTCGGAATTTATGATTAATTATGATATTGTATGGCCATCCCAAAAAAGATAGAAAGTTGTGTTTCCAGGAGCTTAAAGATGATATTTACATATAATATATATATTTACATATACATTTCCGTCATAAATCCAAGTTTCCCAATGTTCTATCATCTATTTTGGGTTTGCTATCCCCAGGGCAACACGAAAAAACCCATGGCAGGCGTAGCCGGTGGACCGTCCCTAGACGGGGTCGCAGAGCGATAAGATGCCTTTGGGTATACGTTGCCTTTTCATGATGGATGGATGGTAACATGGCGGATAGTCCAATTTTATGAAATTTCATCCATCCATCATAACGGTATATGTACATATATCATAAATTAAACAATTTTATGGCCAAAAATAACATATACTATCATGTACGGTTCTATTTTTGGCCACCATCCATTCATCAAAAATGTTTTTCCCATCCCGCGCATATCAAAATACCCCCTTGAGTCACCCTTGATTTTGGGTCCCAAACATTGGGCGTATTGCGCAACAATGCCACAAAAAGTCCATGTGATGCTGAACAATCTGCTTACCCTTTGATAATTTGACATGGCTATCATATAGATGGCCTAACTATTTAGTTGATTGATTTACCTATGAAAAGTAGTGATGTTCCATGGCTATGGCCCAAAGCCATGCTAAGTCCTGGTGCTTTTCCGCAGGCGGTGCGTTTCTCACTGGCCCTGGCCAGCAAAATCATGGTGCGGACGTAGCTTGGAGACACCTTTTGGGGCAAACATTTTGGGATGGTTTTCAACTCCACCCATTGGTTTAGTATGGGATAATGATGGTTAATGATGGTAGAATATATCTGGTTGGTGGTTTGGAACCATGGAATTTTATGACTCTCCATTCAGTTGGGAATGGAATAATCATCCCAACTGACGAACTCCATCATTTTTCAGAGGGGTAGGTCAACCACCAATCAGTTGGGGATGGTTTCCGGCATTGGGTTGACCAGATTACTGGACATTCACATTGGAAATTGGGGATCAACAAGGGGCTTCAGGATGGGTACTGTAAACCTATCGGAAGGGCGAAAAAACACACCGAAACGTCTTAGCTGACAATTCGTCCACAAGGACTTGGTGGAAGACGGCTGTCTCAGTTGTGATCTAGAATCTAGACCCAAAAAAACAAGTTAGTGTTATATAATGAAACAATAAGGTTCCACCCATGATTTGATGGTTTATATCACTCATTCCCAAAGTTTTGGTTGAAAGGAAAACTCACATGAAACACCTTGGTTTCCTGCCAAAGTTCCCGTAAACCACCCTGATGTTCGATTTGACTTTAGTGAACCAGATGAGAACAGATGAGATCGTATTTAAATGTGCCCACCCATAACCCATGTAGGAAATTTACCTTCTTAAATTGGTGATTTCCATCATATTTGACGATCAGAAGTTAAGCATTTCGCTCAGGTTATTTGAGGGCTCTACTTTGGTGATGAAAGCCATCAACGCGAACATCCGGTGCGCTGGGAACCCTGTGGATCCGATGCTTTCGTCGTTGGGACGATGAAGCAATACCAAGGGGGCAAGGATCACTATAATATACATTACTGGTTGGTGATTTCAAACATGAATTTCATGACTTTCCCATATATTGGGAATGTCATCATCCCAACAGATGGTTAAAACCAGCAACCAGATTTATGGATCTACATGGAGGTTTCCTGAAATGGAGGTACCTCTAAATCATCCATTTTTATGTATAATTTTCCATGAAATAAACCAACCATCTATTGGGGATTCCCCATGAGTATAGACAAAAAAACAGGCCCCGACAAGCCCCGGTCAAGATGGTTCAATCATGTTCAACTAATCGATAGTAATTACTAGTTGATACTAGTTGCTACTATTCCATTATTAGTATTTATTAGTTAGTATCAAATGATTGGTTACTAATCTATTATTACTATTCTTTTACTATTAACCAAATGATTTGGTAACATGCTTGGCATTTTCCATTCGATCAGTACTGAGCTACCACCTCCCAGAATCAGCGTACAATCCCACTAAAGTAATGGCACATGTACATCATATTTGGGGGTTGGAGAAAGAAACAAAAACGTGGATGTGCCACCGGGATGGTGGGGGCCCATTGCCATCATTGCCATTGCCCCGATGCCCCGCAGGAGTCAGTTGAGGAAAGCCATGGTGACTTGGTTCGGTTGGGTAAAACTTGTTCTCCACGGGGACTTCACCATGAGAATTTGGGACTCAACTGGTTTTTTTAAGCAGCTAAGTGTACACTGGCAGTGACTAGGCCGATTAGTTCCCATGAATTATCATGAAATTGATTCCTAGTGACTCTTAGATTTTCTATGATTTTCTTGACGAAGCGCATTGGTTCCCATCATTTTTCTTATCAAAGGTGGAAAATCATCGGCAATCCCTAGCCATGGAGCTTTACGTACTCGCTGGGTTGGTGTGGGTTGCCATCAGCCCTCGCGATTGCTGCAGGACATCATCCCCCGAGGGAAACGTGCAAACGAGCTACTGAAGATCACAGCAGGCGCGGTTGAAGTGTCAGGTGGATGATAGGTGGTACCCATATGTACCCATCATTTAGTAAATATGATAGGGAATGCTAGGGGTATGACATATATATATATATTATGGTGTATCTCATGAAGATAGGGATTTTGATCAGCTATCTGAGCTAAATTTTGGGCTGAACAGCAGGGTACTTTTTGGGTGAACTAACCCATAGCCAAACGTCGATAAGATAGCGAGATTCATGCTGTGTCCTTTTTATTCATTTTATGAATATAAAACGTATCGGTGAGTTCAATGTAACATATAATTCACTTCAACTGATCAGAACGAAGTTATTATTTTTTCAATTGGATGTAGTGAGCGTCAATATGCGTCAATTGTTGAGGCAATCCGCATCGTACTTTAAATTGTATTTCGGCAGAATTGAAATTCGCTGCCAGAATTATTGGGATATCAAGCGAAAAAAGACCCGATATCAGTAATTCAAGTGAAAGAATCCCTTCCACTTAATTACTAACTCCCCCCAAAAATCACACCAGTAGTTTTCAGGATCCGACCTTTATTTCCAATGTGGGGGTTTCCTAAAAACGGAGGTACCCCAAATCATCCACTTCATGACTAATATACTGGCTGGTGGTTTCAAACATTTGTTATTTTCCATAATATATGGGATAATCCTTCCCATTGACGAATTCAGATTGTTCAAGATGGTTAAAACCACCAACCAGTATAATTATGGGAAATCACCATTCTTCATGGGAAAATTCACTATTTCTATGGTGATTTTCCATAGCTATGTTAAATTACCAACCAGTATATGTACTCAATGGGAATTCCAGGATCCTAAAATGGAGGTACTGTACCATATAAGGCCATATTTTAGGGGGATATCCCCTTACATAGCCCTTATATAGGCCTTATATATGGTATAGGTACCTCCATTTTAGGATCCTGAAATTCCCATTGATGTACTATTGAACGCCATGATGACTTGGGGTACCCAGACTCAAGGCCTTCTGGAAACCTAGGTTCGCAGTCGATTTCGCCCTTCTTCTGGGCCGTGGACTCGGGAGCCCTCAGCTGTGCCCAGATGATCCTGGAGGATCTGCTGACGATTCGCGCGGACCGCGACGTAACGCTGCGGAACGGTTGTGGGCCATGAGTTGTTGGAAAAAATGGAAGATGTGCCCATTTTTAGTGGTGAAATATGGGGGGATATGGAAAAATATGGTTTTTTTAAAGGTAGATCTGCGAAAGAAAATGAGAACTTTCAGAGGAACATCCAGCAAGTCAACAAACAGTAGAATCATCAAGTTTCGGCTACAAAAAGGCAGCGTTCAATGGCTGTCAAATTACCAGAGGGTATTTAGGTACTTAATGACTGCACAATGGGGAGATACTCGAGGGCCTCAAGGGATCCTGTCCCATGAACTGATTGATCCAGTTGGTTTCATTGTGATTTTCCCCACTGTTACCTCCCAAAAAATTTCTTAGGAATCCACTTAATTATCATTTCCTATTTCTATAGCACACCCATTTACATATCTGATGGGAAGAACGGAAGATTCCCAGGATGTCCATGATTTTGGTTCGACCTTCCCTGGTCCACCCTTTTTTGGGGATCCCCTTGGATCCAAGGTCTATTACTACGGCGCTGATGCTCTGTTCACCCACCACCCGCGCGTGGTCCAACGGTTGCCCGATGTCAATGTTAGCTCAATGGGACCCACCCAGAAAGGGGGTGAAGCATCTGAAAATGTGACGCCTCTGGGAATCAGACATGGTTTGCTGGAAAATCCAGCAAATTTCCCCACGTTTGGTTACTACTGGGGTCATTGTTCCTTGCCCAGATCTATGCCATATCTATGGCCGGTATTGGGAAAGCATCCCAAAGCCCGGGATTTCATGGAGGAGTCAGGGATTCCATGAAAAACAAACCAGGCAGCCTAAAAAGCACCTGGTTTTGTGTACAGTGTAGATGCTGGTTGGATGTGAAACGCTTCTCGCAATATAATATATGCGATTTGAAGCCTTAAAACCATGGGAAAAGCTGGCATTGAGGTAACCTAAGAACTACCCTTTGCTAATGAATCCAACCTGGCAACAGAACATAATTATAGAATATGATAGAACTATCCATTTATCCATGATTTTCAACATGAAGAACATCCACCCGAACCTCAAGACCTAAATCCTGATGTTGGTTGGATCATGGCGAGGCTTTGCGCTACGCCTGTGTTGCTGCCAACGCTGATGGATGGTCTGGTGTGGCGTTCGCGGCAGACGCGCGAGGGGGTGCGGCGCGTGAATTACTATGTGACCCTCGGCGAACAGAAGCTGACTGGGAGGGCTTGTCCGTCAGAAGGATTTATGTATTGATAATGGTTCATAGTAATACTATTGATAATGGTTCATGGTTCATAGATTTATGTATTGATAATGGTTCTTCTATTAATAATGGAGAAGAAGGAGAACTTTCACTTTCATGGCGGACTTGATATGGGGGTCTGATCCTTGCAAATCTCTCGAATTAGGGCGCCAAAAGCCTCGACCCTCAGCTCTGGTGACCAAGAAAACACATGGTGGTGATGATGATGATGATGATCATCATCATCATCATCATGATCATCATCATCATCAAGTTCCTGTATCTATAAGTAAAACAACTGCCAAATTAATTCCAATGAATTACGACCATGGGGGAGGGTCTGAAGTTCTTAATGCCCTTCAAAAGCTTATTTGTACTTGAAAAATGACCATTGACCAGGGTTTCCTGTTGGGGCTATCTACCTGAAATGTGGCCTTAGATCCGCTTAGTTGATGAATGGGGAAAGTTTTCCCGATAGTTTGCCCCAAAATGGAGGTAACCAGGTAACCAGTCCTATGATATTATACTGATTGGACCTGATTGGTGGTTTGGAACATGGCTTTTATGACTTTCCATATATTGGGAATAATGATCCCAATTGACGAACTCATATTTTTTCAGAGGGGTTGAAACCACCAACCATCGAACAACTGGGGGCTGAACATCAACCAGCCGCTTGGAGCTTGCCGCTACCCTGATGTGCTTCAAGGATCCGTCCCACTGTTTTGCGTCGGAAAACACCCGTGTTTTCCCCAGCAGAAAAGGAATAATACAGTGTTTTCATTTTTCATGAGTTTAATTGTGCGTGTGTTTTGTACTGAACTGCTATTGTTGTGCCTCAACACTCAGCTTTTGATAGTCAATCATTAGGGATACTCAGCCCCAAAACAGATATCCCAATTATCCCATAGTTTCCTATTTGTATTTTACCAAAATAGCCCATAGCTACCCCATGATTTCCCATTTCCCACAAAATGATTGGTCTCCTGGAAAGAGTGAGTTCGGAGGAAGCACCTGCTGAAAGATGCCAATGACGACATCAGTCAAAACCTGGTCACTTGTCTGAGTTTTTTTTTTTTAACTATGAACATGTTACAGTTATATCTAGTTATAGTATGGAAGTGCTTATGGTTGATTTTTAGGAATTCATGATGAATCTGAAGCTTTTACATGGAATATTTTACCATATTATACCTAACCAACTACAAGATTCTGCTTTGGAATTGACTGCACTGCGAGGGCACCAGAGATGTGAAGGTCAGGAAGGGAATCATCCCCAAAAGGGCTTATTATATCTTATTCTGGCTTATTAATAATAATCATGATATATAATAACAATGATAATAATAATGATAATAATATCTTATTCTGGCTTATAATATCTTACTCTGGCTTATTTAATAATAATGATAATAGACAAGTGTTTTATTATTATAACGGTGGCTATGCAGAACATGGGAATAAATTATAAGAAATTGAAATGCTGACAGCAATTAATGAACTTAATTAAGTTTACCTGGCATATGACAGTCGTTATCAGACCAATTGTTTGTCGTATGGTGCTCTTGGAGATGGCGATGGAGAGAGAGATGGTGTAGTTGGTTGAACCATTTAACCCCGCAGTCGGGTAGTCGGGTAGGGGCGGCCCCTCCACATTTCGTGCCATGCTTTGGGGCTTGAGCCGATCAATACCAGTTTTTCGTGATGTGGCTTTTAGTCAATGATAAAATAATCCCCCAAAAAACCAACCGTGGTTGAGGTTTTTCCCTTATGATATCCTAATGATAAATCTCGGGGATTGTTTAGTGGGTTTACCACATGACCTGGTCATTACCGTACCTTTCTCCTTCGTTTGTTGATCCTTTGGTGCGTTGTGTCAGCTATGGAAAATGGAGATATGGATCATTAGATATAATTAGCTATTCTGATTGGTGGTTTGGAACCATGGAATTTGGATTGACTTTCCATTCTTCCATTCAGTTGGGAATGTCATCATATGTCATCATCCCAACTGACTCCATCATTTTTCAGAGGGGTAGGACGGTAGGGCTCAACCACCAACCAGATCATCATTAATCATCATTAACCATATAATAACCATTAACATTGGGCATTAATATTAATGGTATATTACCAACCAATGGTGTGTGTTTTTGTTGTTCAATGATTTTTCCCTGGAAAAATGGGCCAAAAAATTGCGAATCGCCAGGAGTGGCTGGTGCAGCACGGCGATCCCGTGATCATCCGCCATCCCACCGTGGTGCTCTTTGCAGTGCCTAGACGACATCGGTGGATCCCATGGGAAATCCCATGGGAAATCCCGTGGATTAGATGATCAACATGCACCGACTTGATCTAGGTCAATCTTAGATGGGTAGAAACTAATCCTAACTAGTCTTTTGGTATCAATGGGAATATCTACTAACCAGCAAAGAATTTTTCATTTTTTGCAGGGTATCTAAGATTGGTAATGTGATATCCTTTCATATTGTTGCTGCTTCACTACTCGCCATGATTTGTCGACTTTTTGTGTGAAATCCAATCTGATAATCTGTGGGGTTCGCTAAACCACGGGTCCTCAAAAACTGACGCTCTTCAGCTGGGTCAGACGATAGCGGCGATAACGGGTCTCCCATGTTGGTTTCATGGCCCATTGGTGATGTCCAAGACTTTCCTATTAAGAGTTTACCAGAGGGTAGTTCACACCACTTCATGTTGAACACTTGAATTTCCGCTCTTCACTTTGATGATAATTAAGAGCTGGTTGGTGGTTTGGAACACTTTTTGTTACTTTTCCATATCTTGGGAATAATCATCCCAACTGACTAATATTTTTCAGAGGGGTTGAAACCACCAACCAGATGATAATTAATAGTATCCCTTGAGGATCTCCAAGACTCGGGAAGTCATCCTGGTGAACATCTCAGCACCAGATCTTCCAAGATATTCCAAGATCTTTCAGGTTTTTCTTCACCAAAACAATTGGAGGTTTTCTAAGTCTCCGGGGGTTTTAGTTCCTATTTACCCATTAAAAATGGTGATTTTCCATAATTAGTTATGTTAGTTTACCAGAGGGTAGTTCTCATCCATGTTATTTTACTGATTTTCCATGAAATAAACATAGATAAACCACATTCTAAATGGGTTTTCCATGAACTAAACCATCTAAACCGAGCATTTTGGGTGTCCCCATGTGTCCCCATGGCTTTCGGATTCCGCAGCGGCAGGACATTTTATGGTCCGGACTGGCCAGCTACCACTTCATGGCCTCGAAGCTTTACTTCCTGCTGACCTTGAGCACCTTGGGGAACGAAAAGCTAGTCCATATATCTATTTCCTCTGGCTATTTAACATATATATATATATATCTAACCACCAACCAGTATCTATATATATACATATGTACCCTCTGGTTATTTAACATAGCCATGGTTTTTCGATGGCCCCAATCGAAATAGATGGTTTACCTATTAAAAATGATGATTTTCCATGGCTATGTTAAATAACAAGATGGTGTATATATATATATATACATATGCATGTATCCATATTAATGATGGATTCATATAATAATTATATGAAGATATGTTTATATATAGAAATATGTAAATATGTATAGATATGACTGCTACAGATTGTTTGTGTGTAGACTCTGCCGTGTCAAATGTGAGGTCTTTGCCTTTCTTGCCTTTAGAAAATGCAGACAAAATAGTGAGCTATTCCTTCATTTTGTGCCTTGTTCTCCCGGTGGCACTTCCAAGGCATCTTCATCACAGGGCAGGCAGCCTTGTTTCGCCATGAGAGTGAGCAGACCACGGTGGAGACGTGGTAATCTGATTGGTTGACGTGTCATTTAACCCACTGGTAAACCAACAGTAGTGAAAAATCTACCTACCTATATAATCCTAGTAGAAATGGTGAATTTATCTAGGAATGTTAGTTGATCAGAGGGTAATGTTTTTTTTTTTTTTAGCAACATGTTATGGGGCTTTTGCCATCAAAACTATGGGAGTTCATGGGATATAACACTCATATTAATGACTGATACATGATGGTTGCTGCTGATTAGTTGGCTAAGTTTGTTTATAACCAGAATAACTAGGGGTTGCTGTGATTATATATCACACATATATATATATCATAGTTTATATATAATACATTTGAACTAAAGGTAGTTGGGCCAAGTAATAAACCCAACATCTGGAATTAGGGAGAACCACCTTGGATCAAAGGGTTGATGATGATTCGAATTTAGCGGCCTCTATTTCTTCGGGTTTTGTAATGTTTGTTTGTATTCTTTTCCATGGTGGCTTAAATCCCCATGATTCAACCAGGATTTCTCGGTTTTGAAGACTGCCATTGAGATACCGAGGAGAATGTGGTGATGTTTTGCTGCCGCATGTTGCTCCTCGGTCGCAGAGATGCGGGTTGTGTCAGCGTAGCGACTCATGGGTTGATGTTTTTTCCGTAAGAATCAGGGGCTTGGAAGGGAGATACATACATTACAAACCATTTGTCTAACCATGGAATATCCAAGTAGCATCAACTAGCCCCAAATTCGTTTGGCACTTGCAATCATGGGCTTGTGAGTACCACTGAAGATGTACAGAAAACATCAGAAAACCCATGGAAACCTCCTTAATATTTTGTGGTAAATAAGGTGGCTGTTGAGGGATCTATATCCTCGTACAATATGTTTCGCCAACTTCTCATCCTACCAAGGTTTCGCAGATATGAGGTTCCTATTTCGGGAGTTTCCATGGAAATGGGGGCCCCATGGCATGGGATTCCAACAGTCACCAAACCGAATCTCATGCAAATCATTTTTATTTTCTATAGCAACATATCCCAAAAACCGAAGAAACACAAGGAACGATGATCAAATCCTCTTTAGATTTTCTTGGATTGTGATGAGAATTGGGACACCCAACTTTTCCGAATCAACATTTCCGGGCTCTCGGATCATCGATCATCTTGGATCGGGGTTTTCGAAAGTTGGAGTTTTTTATCCTATCAGATATTGGTATACTTTTTCATCAACAAAAATCCACCATATTCCACCATAATCCGCTCTTGTTTTTTTTTTGCTCTAAGGAATTATGTGGGCAGCATGATTCCTTTAGCCATCCACCAGCTGAAGAAAATCCTCCGGGATCTGAGCAGCGGCTCCGTGAAAGCCTGTGGGCCCTTCATCGTGCCCTGGCGATGCCCGGGGTCGACCATGGGAGACCCGCCATTAATGCCGTTTGATGAGGGAAAATGATGACGACACATGATGCTACCATCCGCACTGGATTGGGATGAATATGGGATGATTGGGATGTTTTTTGGATGTTTTTTTGTTGTTTTTTCACAGTTGCAACGGTTAAACCAATTTGACGAAACGTTGATTTTCGCTAGGTGACCCACAATAGAGCCATCGAGATGGTGCTCCGAGGTGCCGCGGTACTTGTTGAACTTTCAGGAGGCCATTGGACTGATTCCTGGCGAAATTCCACGTCCACCAGGATGTTTCTGGTGATTTGTGTTCGTTTATGGAACATGTGCCATGGAATATGAGTGATTTGTTGATTGATTTTGTATATGTTTGTATCCTTTAAGGTGAATGAATGATAGAAATAGAGATTCACCTTAATATTCACAGCTATTTATATCTATTTATCTTAAAAAGTTATTGGTGTGGAATCTGTGGAAGACATGACTCCTCTTAGTTCGGACATCACTTCCTGTATTTTTGCGTGGCCACGTCCTTGCTCGTTGAAGTCCAAGGATCTTGATGTGGCTTCTGATCATCATGTTCACGCAGGCGTGGCGACCAATGGGAGGGTTGGCCGGTTGGCCCCGTCTTTTCCAAGAATTCTAGTAACCACAAAACGGAGAGGCGTTGATTGATGGTTTCTTGGTTTTTAAAATGTGCCTAAATTTTACCATTTATCAATACCTAGTGGTGAAATACATGTTTTAAATGTGTTTCTTGTTTTTTTTTTTGGGTTGGGGGAGCTATATTAACGAATTACAATGAAAAGAGGCGTGCATAATTTGTTTTTGCTTATCTTTTTGGGAGGTTCCTACAATGCTTTTTTGAAAACATCTTTTTGAGGGCTACTACAATGAACATATAGTGGCGAATACCTTTTTCTATCTTGTTTTGGGTTACTATATAAGGAATGATTTGTGGGGAACATTCTTTGTAAGACTTTTGTGGGCCATTAAGCAGGGGTAGCTTCCACAAAATTGGGGGTGTCCACATGTCGGGTCAATTTCGCTGATTCTTCGTTCCGGATATTTTTTGTGCTACCTATGGTCATGAACTCTTTCGTTTTGGTCATGTTTGATGTCTTCACGTTGGCTCCAAACGCACAGGTGCTGAAAAAGCTGTAGGTCACCTATCTTCACAGGCAAGAAACATGGTCATTTTACCAATTGATTTCTCCAAGGTCGATGAACTTACCCATAATTTTGAATGATCATGTTGCCACCTCGCACCCCGACATCACTCGAATTATAGTCAATATAAGAGAAATAATCCGCAAAATGGCCAAACTTTTCTGGTTTGTGAATTGTTCGAATAAAATCCGGATAATTGGATGTGGGTTTGCTGAAAATACGGTGTCCCTATAAGATCCATATAGGTTAGTCATAGTCATCATTATCCCACTATCCCCATTAACGTGCCGTTTTCGGTTTCAGACATGCCCACAGATGTAGTGTTGGTTAGCTATATCCCATTTGAAACAAGCCACATTATATCCCATTATATACAGTATGTCTATATACATAGTCCTTTTGCAGCTTGTTCGTATCCCATATCATTCAAATATATTATATATACATATAATGTCAAGTTGGTTAGTTATTCTATACCCCATTCTTAACCCTATAGAAAATACCATTAATTAAACGCCCCCTCTTATAGCTCACTATTGGACATGGATATTTGAGGAGGAACCGGTGATATGATTTACCATGACAAAACCTGTTCAACGCCATTAAATGCCATTAGACGCCATCAAACAACATTATAAACACCACTAAACACGATTATATAATCACCATTGAAGCTATTAAACACCAACAAATCAAATACCATGAAACTTAAAAAAAACGCCATTAACACACCATTAAACATCATTATAAACATCATTAAACACCACAAAACCACATCAAACACCTTTGAACGCCATTTTCTTTGGTTCGCCAGGAGCCCTTCTTGTGGTGTTTGAGTTCCGGCTCTATGACCGTGACCCTCAGCTGTAGCGATGCGCAAGGGCACCAAGACCTCTACTCCTACTGTGGCCTGGCGGCCGATGGTCAGCTAACTTGACGTTGACGTAGAATTTACCTGGTGCATTCTATGGTTTATGGGAGATATCACCTGGGAGATATCACCTGATATATATATATATAATACTGTAAAAGAAGGCAATTTGTCAATACCCCAACCGATTCAGGAGGAAACCGAAGATGCGAGCAACGAGAATGTGGTAGACTCAGAAGAACAGAAGTTAAGGGATCAACTTCAAGGAGTTCTGAAAGCCTGTGCAGGATCGCTCGGTCTTCAAAATGCACCAGCAGAGACCCAAGTACAAGAGCTCTCGGACGACGAGGCGCCTCCTCACAACAAGAGGCCAAGATCGGTGGAGCCTGCGAAGCCAGTCTCCAATGCGAAACAGTGACAGGTGGCCGTGAGTATCCAGTTTGTCAGAATGGTGCTCATGAGGCCTGGCCATGCATGTTTCCTAATGGTCACTCTGTGACATCGGAATGCAATTACCTGTGTCCTTTGTCAGCACTGTGCTCAGCATGGAAACTTAGAGGTGAAGTGTTGTTTGATTGCTCAGAAGGCTTCGAGGATTCCTTTTTGCATCATCACAGTGCCAATCCTTTTGTTTCTGCCTCAGCCAACTCCATTTTGCGTAGTTCTCAGAAACCACTCAGTGTTCGTCGCAAACATAATACATATGCGTGTTCATTTTGATGATTATATTGAACTTGCAATTGGACAGGAAGATGGGCAAATTTTGTATCTTTTGCATATTGCACATGATGTCTTGCAAAACTGGACTGTAAAGCCAAGCAGAAGGTTTTCCTGGAGAAAACTCCAGAATCTACAATACCAATTTTGCGATTTCTCCAGATGTTGCGAAGACAATGCTGAGGAAGCAATCGGGAACGAAAGACAAATCAACTCAAATCGATATTTTTCCAATCCAAGCAAGGCAGCGGTGGATGCAAAGACATGTCCTTTTTCAAAATGGATCTCAGATCTTCTGGACTTCATTTCGGCAAAAGAGCTGGTTGCAGAAGTCAATCAGCGAGGTTATGAGGTGCCAGTCCTGAGTTGGCTAGTTGATCACTAGCTTTTTCCAGTGTGTACCCAGCCAAGGGTTGTATTGCTTAGTGCCAATTCATATGAATGGCAAGAAAAGGTTTTTGCAACCTGGAGTGACGTCATTGGAATCAATAGTTTAGCTCAAGTCAATGTAGTCCAGCCAGATTCTGTCAGAACCATCACTCATGGATGTGCCGCAGAGATTATTGTTACTGCAAGATCGACTGTTCATTCGATCCTGGTCGATGTTCAAGTTGATTTACAGTCAAAATCGGATTCCATCACATTTGCTGCCGAATCGGAAGATCCAACTTCTATTCACGACATCATGCAAACTATTGTCAGAAAAAATGACGGCCTGGAAACAATCGCATCGTTGTCCAGTAGAAACATCAAGCTCTGTAGAGATCGCATTCATGTGTACAATGGGGCGTTTCTCAACATCACGATCAAAGAGATCAGAGATGATTCAAGCACAGTCAAGGCCCGAGGTGCTCTTCAAGACATCACCAATCTACCCGTTGGGCATGCCAAGATTGAGAGTCATGTGCACGTTCTGGACGGTGCTCCGCAGTCCCTTGTGGCCGTGTTGAGCTCTCCAGCTTGCTCTGTACTCAATAAAGCACAAGGTAGTCAAAACTTCGCTGAGATGAATTTCAACAGTACCTCTGATGAGATTTCAGCCGTGCAAATTGCTAGACCAGTCAGTCTTCATGCCAAGAGGGACCCTTTTGATTTTCAGCAAGAGAATATGATGCAGGCTTTCCAAGGTGGTCAGGCTTATCAAGGTGACGATAATGAGGGTTTTGCAAACGAGGATATGCCTGAATCAGATGGTTACTCACCCAGTGAAGAGGTTGGCCCAACAGATATCCACTCGCCATCCTCGGAAGAAAATAGACAAGATGTTCTTTTGTTTCATCTGGATGAGCACCCTGTCCATGCACTTATCAACTGGAATAGCTATGAAGATATGATGTTGGAGATTGCACATCACTTTGCATTGGACAAGTCTGATTTGATTGATGCTTATGAAGTTGTCATTCAGCCGCCTGATATTGGGCATGAGACAGTGCCAACAATTGTTCATGTCCAAGATGATGTTCGCCCAGACTCCGGTGACAGGTTGGTACTGCTTAGCATTGAATATCATGCACATCGCATGGAAGCAAACTTCAGACTGGGACCTTTGGTTGTCCGAAAAGTGTTGCCGATTTCAAGAAATGCACACAGGAACGAAGTCCTGGCCAGAGCGAACATTGACAGATACTGTCGTGCAGAGAGCGGTAGATGTCTTGTTTTCATCAACTCCAGGCGATGGCCAGACGATGATTTGGACAAGAAAACCATTTCACATGGCGACTATATCCGCATTGCCGTGCCACCATCCGACAGGTTTTCGTGTCCTACAACGGAAATCTCAGATATGACCCAACGAGGGCTCACTGATCAACAGATCTATGACGAGATGTTTCATGATGAAGCTGAATGAAGCTGAGTCAGGGCTATCACCTAGTCTTCTGGATGAAGATGAAGTCAGAAGCCTTGCAACCGACTTCCTTGCAGAGGGCGACACTGTCACGATGTTTCAAAGGCATTTTTTTGACAATGCGAAAGATCTGCAAACACATGATTCAAAGATCTGTGAACATAGTTTGCACAGAGGGACGCCTGCCGACAAGAAGATGTCCTCATCGGATTTCAGTTGTCATGATTCAGGTCGTGTGAAATGCAGTCTTACGGATGAGTTCATCAGATTTGTTCAGGCAGCTGGATCGCAGGTCGATAACCCAAATGTACCCAATGATGAGCCGGCAGATCTCAGAGATCAACCAATGTGGGTTCAGGACTTGTGGGATAAGTGGATTGAAACGATGACACAAACAGGTCAGACTATTGATGAAGGGTTGAGGATTGAAACATGGTTCAGCAACCCGAGACGATGGTCCCGTTGTCGTTTCTCCAGAGTCGTAGTTTTATCACGCAATTTTCACTTCTGGGAAAGGGAATTGCTGGCAGCTTGGCCAGATCGTGCAGAATTGGCCCTTCCAACACAGTTTGCCATAGTTTTGTCCGACTCCCGAAGACGTGGATGCAACTGTTCAAGAGCAGCTGACCAGAGCCCTTCTCTCGTTCTGTTGTATCCACTTTGTGTGACTCCGATCCGGTCGTCCTCAATCAATTGCCAGTGTTGTTTCTGATAGACTAGATGTCAGATCAATGATAACAATGATGAGCTATTCTGAGCTGTGCCCACCAGAGAAAAATGAAAACGAATGCCTTCTTTGGATGGGAAATATTGCCATTCGTCACGATCAAACAGTGAACGTTCGTACAGGGAATGCTTTCCGTTTTGTTGTCAAACATGATATTCGGGTTAGCATTCCTGAACTACTGTCTTTGTCAGACAATAGACTCAGATCTGACTTGCAGAATGCCATTTCAGGAGCCATTTTTCGCCGGCCAAATATCCCTGAGTTTCCAGCTGACGCCTTCTCCAGAAATGTCCCTTCAGATTCAGCAGCTTTGACCAGCGGCTTTGAGGATGGTTATCCTCCGGATTGGTTGAACTCCTTGCAGGAAAGATTCGATCAACATGCTGTAGCAGAAAATCCTGATGATGGACCGACGCTTTATGTCATGGTATGGTTCGTCAATGGTGACTCACACTTGAGATGTGAAACACCCAGGATCTGTAGGCTTGATGCTGATAGTCCCTGGTGGAAAAGTGAAATCATTTTCCCCTGGAGAGACCATTTTACCAGGGCTGTGGCTTTCGATTTGCATTTTGTTGATCCAGTACCACCGAAAGAAACGTGGCAGTCACATGATGTGCAATACCATCGTCTCACAAGCATTGCCATTGGAGCATGTTCCTGTTGTGGTATCGACTGTGGTTTCTAACGATCCTGGACAAGCAGTTGGCCATACTGCCCTTGTTGTCAATCAATTTTCTAGTGCAGCAAACATTGCACAAAGATTTGTTTTGCCAGCAGTGCAAAGTGGTTGCTATACTGTCAGGCGTGGTAGAAATGTCTTTCCAGACACTCACGCTGTCAGATTGGGATCAGGAGACGGCATTTGCCTGGAGATTAGGCCTACGGGTAGTAGAGGGAGTGCCCAGCAAGAATCACAAGCAGCAGGTACCACTTCTCCACAGCACGATTAGCATGCAATCGAACATGAAGGTGATGGCTTCCCTTCCACGCATGATCACGATGATTATTCTCACGACTTCGAAGATGCTTTTTTGATGCAGGCTCTCAATTTTGCTGCACAAGTCCTCCATTTGCGTCGTGAGGATGCTACTGCATGTGCTCTTGGTGTTCCTGGTGAGGTTTCATGCGAAGCCGATGCATTTCAGTTCAATCCAAATGCAGCAGAATTCCTACCGAGCGGAAATATGCTGCCTGCAAGGGCTCAGGTAATTGAAGACATATATCATGAATGGGATACAAATGCTGTTGTCTGGCAAGGAGAGTCTCGCGTTGCTCACTTCATGACGTGGTATGTAGCACCAGGTATTGGTAGGCTTCAATGTCTGTATGGCAGAAGGATTGCACTCATGGCTGACTTCTGGAACTGGCGAGAACAGTTTCGAAGGAAATGGATCGACGAAATTGATCAACGTGCTGAAATTGAATTGATTCAGGTGTCTCCTCCACCTACACTTTTTGAGGCAGGCATTGCTGGTCATGTCATTTTGGTTCAGCATAACTCAGTTGAGTGGTCCTCCTTGTTAGTGTCGGTCTTTGATCCAGCCATCAACAATGGACATCCATTCCACATGGTGCACTCCTTTCATGAGAGATTGTTTCTCCAAGAAGTTGTCGTCAGAATTGGGTACAATGTTGACTGTGAGCATCACGCACAGTGTTCCTTCAGGATCAGAGGACAGCATTTTCAGAACAGCGATCAGATAAGAGCAAGTGATGGAGATGCGATCGATCTGACAGTGGA